TTTAACAATGTTGTGATCACGTAGATTAAGAGAACAATTAATTCAAAGAAATTGTTTTTAAAATATTCATAAACATAGTTGTAGCTTAGAGATGCCACCAAAACTTTGCCCTTTTTGGAAAATACATTCAGTAGTTAGATAATGACATTAAAGATTTTAATAAGAAAAACAAAGATGCCTAGCACCACAGTTTAGTTGCCCTTGGAAACTTAAATCTTGGAAAGAAGACTGCACTAGTCACCTTGTGTATTCTTTCTTTGAATATAACAATATTGCCTTCAGCATCTGTTGCATGCATGGAGCCATCAAAAAGTTACAAGAACAGCTGAAATTCTTTCTCCTTTACTAGCTACTACTCCAGAGTATATATATCCATCTTCAAATATCATTTCAATAACAATTTAAATCAGATGGGAGCTTGCATTTGCTTCCATCTGCAGCACGATCCCTTGAAAAGCAATGCTTAGTTTTAAACGCCACATTACGATTAATAATACATTAGTGTTGCCATACAACTAAAGGGCAATTCAAGAACACAAAAAGGTTTCCTACCAAAGATTTAAGGCATTGTGTCATGAGAAATGACAGCTGTATAAGATTCTAATGTTATAACAATTTACGTTCTCGAAAAAAATTAGGACTTGTAAAAACAACTTATCAACACAAAGTGCAATGATATTAGTAATTAGTCATCGGTAGCAGTTTCTTACATAAACAGATCCTCCACTTTTGAACATTTCGCTGACTTCTTTCCAGTTGAAATGTAAATAAATGCAACCTCGTACATATTTAGAAATTGAACACAGTAATTATTGATTTTGGATACAATAAGAACATATGTTTTAAAAACAGTGGCAAAATATTATTTTGCAGTTTCGAGAAGATTGTATTTTTCAGTTGGTTGCACAGTAATCTAATCTGCTTATCGCATGATTATTAAGCGACAGAAATATGCTAAATTAAATTTACTAAAGGTAAACAAACGGACGGTTAAATATAAGACGCACCTCCAAACTGGAACAACCTTTGAATTTTTAGGAAAACGTTTATCAAAACAAACACTATCAAGCTGTTCGTGTTCAGCTAGGTTTTAAAAAAGACTTTTATAGAACAATTCAAACGCTGCCACCGAGGAATTTGCAACCCTTAAATGAAACTAAGATGGTAAGAATCAACGCAATTTGAAAAGCGGAAGACATTTTACGTGTAGGTGTAATAAGGAATCATGAGCATCGGGGTGTTTTTCAACTTTTGACTGAAATTTTCAAAACGTTGGACTCATCATCAGTATATAAATGACCGTAATTTGCGATAAAAGATAACGAAAATATTATCACAAAACGCTAAATACCTCTTCAGTGCCGCTGGAAATTGCGTTACGGAGATATTCGATAAGTTTCGATACGGAAACTCGACCCGAATTATCCTTGTCACAGTCGTAGAAAAGATTATCGAGAACAGCATCGGCATCGTCGGAAATCTTAGACGGGTCATCGTCCCTTTCTGGCCCCTGGAAATAGGAAACCGTAAAAAATAAACGGATTATTGCAACCAAGGGATACCGGCTGACCAAAGAGAAGCAAATACAACTGCGAAACGACCTACGGCGAGATTAGCGAGGTGGAAAAAAATCAAGCTAAATTGCGGTCTTTTTTTACCGTAACCCATGCAATATCTTACCGCTGAGTCCATCATGAATTGGTAAGCATTTGACAGATATTATTGGTTATATCACTGCTGTTGTTTATCTGTTCTTCGGTTATAAATAAAATTGGCTTTAAGCGATCTCTTCAATGCATGCAGTTACACTGCATTTGTGCCCAATCGCTGTCACGGTCAAGCCTTTCAATTCTAGTTTCTTGGTTCGAAGTATTTCTTGTTTTTGGTTTAAAAGGATATCTGTTAAACATTTCGAGAACCTTGACATTTTGGACCAAAAATATCACACTACTAATAACTCGTCCCCATAGGCAAACGAACAAAGACGAAAATTAAACAAATCTAAAGGAAAGCGCGCCATTTGTTGACTCGTCCCAAATTTGGCATTTCATTGTCTACATCACCAAATATGGTAACTATCTTGAGCGTAAAAAGCGCGCGAATAGATGCTTATCTTTCCAGCGCTCACTCATTCAAACTTCATTTAAGCTGAGGTTCGTCCGCCTCTCGAGCGCGATTAGGAGCTGGAGGCTGTGGATCATCTGTGGATCGCCTCGATCACATAGATGACGTCATGCTCAAGAAAAAAATTTCAGCACTCTCCAATAACACTAACATCTCATAAGTACAAATGACTTCAATGTGTTGCTGATTTTAAACCAACATGCAAGTGGCGTCTTCTTGAAAGTATTCTTTAATTAGCTAAATATGTAAACTGGTATTACAAAGAATTATTTTATTTTCTGGAGTAACTTGTGTTGGTTGGTAACTAACATGACAAAATTAAAAATAAAAAAAAAAAAACTAATCACAGCTTTAGTTTTCTTGGAACAAGCTTTCTTGGAACAGGGTGATGTATATTGAACATCATGGACTCTGCATTCTTCATAAACAGTGTAAGAGGCTATGGATCTATCCTCTGCTCCTAGGATGGGCAAGACAGGTTCATCATGAAACCTAAAACAATTCTAACCTGAAACAATGTTAGTGAGGCACGTCATACCAGGTAAACAAGACATTGCTTTTGAAAAATTTTGGCTTCTGTTCTGGAAATTAGGACTCTATTAGGTTTTTCCTTATACTGGTTTGCAACGTTTTTTTTGCATTATTTTCATCTCTATTTTCATCATCTGCATTGGAACAAACCATTTTGAAAGTTTCCTTTTTGTTTTAAATTAATTATCTCCTCCTGTTCTGAGAAAGTGCTTAACTTAAATGGCATCAGGTTAGTTGAAACAAATCATTTACAAAAAAAATTAAGCTTTGGGTGCTTGTAAGGAAGTTAGCCAAAGTCTGCAACACACTCTCCAACTTATCTTTAATCTTGTCTGTTTCCAAGAGGTATTTAGTCCAGTTAAATGTACACCAGTCAGCTTTCACACCTTGGGAGTACGTGTCACACCTGTTTATAAGAAGAAGATATCACACATACTCATGTCTGTCGCCCAATTTCTCCTACCTGATAAAAATTATTGTACTACTACCCTCTTGAGTAGCACCTCATGTTTGTTTTCTTTTTTGAATTATTCCTGGAGATGGAAAGTGAAATAAGCATGTGACAATCCTCAAAAACACTTGGCTTTGTTGATAATCCTCATTTCCCTGAAATCTCTAAGAGTGTAAGAGACAAGATTTGATGTGACAAGATTTGATGTGACAATCCTCAAAAACACTCGGCTTTGTTGATAATCCTCATTTCCCTGAAATCTCTAAGAGTGTAAGAGACAAGATTGTACTGGAAACTCTTCAAGAGTGTCTTTTGATTCTTTCATGGAGTTTTCAGAAACCTCAAGACATCCCAAAAGATGATCTAGTCATACAAAAAAAAATGTTCACACCTTTGACTCAAAAATCGTTTGGCAGGTATAGAAATATGCTCAGAAAATCATTACTTTTCAAGAATTAAGGGCACTCAGATTCTCAAGCTGACATCAAAGAATCTGTTTAGGGGCAACAAACAAAAAAGCAAAAAGAAATTTATGTAATAAATTAATAAATGAGACTTGAACACAAGAAACTTCATGGGCCTCAAATGAAATTTTATATTCATGTAATGGATATAAAAACCATCACAATTCTGTTGATAATAGTCCTCACTCCATTTTGAGTAACCTTGCAGCAAGTACATTTCAGCAAAATAGGATTTGGAGGGAAATTACAAGCTTAAGGGACTATCAGATTCCATAAATGTGAAAAACAAAAAAACGCCTCAAGAGCAGTACACTCCCAAACATGTCAAAACAACTTTTCCTGTAATATGACATTAACTACAATTGAATCAAATCAGAACTCAATTGAAATGGTTTAATGCCTGCGTTGGTATTCTTCATAAGAGCTTTAGACCAAATTAATGCCAGATCTGGCTTTTCCTTGGAGGTCAGTTCCCATGCCAAGGTAAAATTTTCCTTACTAACAAAATTCTGGGTCACTGCTATGCTAGTTTTTAAATTAAGCACAACATGCCACCATCCAGCAGGGACAAAAATAACATCACCAGGATACTGAAATGTAACTAATGGTTTGTATTCCTGAGGCCAGGAGTTACACTGTGTTTTGGGGTAGATATTTATGAACCAATCACCAGCCTCTTCCCAGCATGAATCATTTTGATTCCATTTAAGCATTTCAGCTGGTGTTTCTGGTGGAAAAAGAAGCCAAAGTTTTTCTCCAAACAACAGTCTGTTCCACGCACTCGTCCCAAGGGGGTCAACATGAACTGCCGTTCCAGAATACTTCGGACCAATCAACAACCACTTCCACGGCGGGCGTTCTTCTTTCCTCAGGCACGCCAAATAATCCTGTTTGAAAAACCTGGGTGTCTGAAACAACTTTTTGACTGCAGTTTGTTTCCTTGCTGCACCTTTCCAGTGGGGTATCCAAGCATCAAAAATGTATAACGGAAATCGGTCTTTGCATCGTCTCGTGTAGATCAAAAAATCTTTCAATTTGATCTCGATTGAATAACCATCGCTATCTTCCCCACACTCAAAGTATCTATCTTTAAATAGCTTGAAGAAGCTGCACAATCGCACCAAAGTATGATTATCATGACGTTCACTTACCACCACTGGAATTTTAGCTTTTTCGAAGCGATCCCGAAATTCTTTCAAAGAAACGTCGTTCGTGAAGGTGTTCTCCACATTGAACTTGTTAGCGCTTGAAATAACTCGTAATCCCTCCACCACAAAGGCTACTTCTTTCCTGTGTTGTGTAACTTCATAGCATTCTTTATTTTTTAAGTGAGGGCGCACTTTCACTTTAACACGGTCGAAATTTCGGAGCAAACGATGGAGTTTACGATACCGTCTCATGTTGGGTATCATGAGGGGTCAGCGGTCATCATGGCGGGAAGAAGCAAAATTTTTAGTTCGCCTATACTTTGGTTTCTTTTTGGCTTTTCTCTGTACATATTGGCATGTTCAAGTGGCAAAGATGCACACATCGGATTAGATATGCGCCTCGTCAAAGTAAACAAGCAAAGCTGGGATAATCATTGGTTTTTGAAACCGATATCATCCATTTTGTTTCGACTCAATATCCGCCATATTGGATTCGTGTGGAAAGCTCGAGTCAGATTCAGGAATTCGAGAGTCAACTACTACAGCAACTCCGATGCAAGCTTCAACTTTGAATATTTACAACTATGTGGCGACATATGTCCTAACCCGGGGCCTGCTTCCCCTCTGTTTGATGCACTTCACGTGGTGAGAGACAATGGAAAGCAAGGAGTATCCATCGGTCACTCGAACGTGCGAGGCCTCCGTAAGAACCTCCCCGAAGTGAAAATACTTTTACAGCATACCAACCTGGATATCCTAACCATTTCTGAAACGCATCTGACACAAGATATAAGCGATAACGAAGTAAACATCGATGGATACCGAATTCTGAGAAGAGATAGGTCACACAAAGTAGGAGGCGGAGTCGCTATTTACTTTAACATTAGCCTAGATTGTGTACGTATATCCAAATATGACAACGACGGCATTGAAGCTCTCTGGATTGAATTGAAAGCTCACTCGCAAAGATTACTTGTGGGTTGTGTATATAGACCTCCTGACGTTACATCTTTCTTTGATGAATTCAACCAAGTATTGAGTACAATTTGGATGTCTCGCAGGAATGTTGTGATCGCTGGTGACTTCAATTCAGATCAGCTTGCTACTAATGGAAATGGTGCGAAATTCAAACGCATCTTACAATCTTATAACTTTTGTAACATCATAAAAGCACCCACAAGAACCTCAGCACATTCTAACACTTTGATCGATCTGATTTTGACTATCAATACCTCAAAGGTCTCAAAGTCTGATGTGATTGAGTATTGCATAGCTGATCACAAATTCATCTACGTTATCTACAAGCTGAAGATCAGGAATCCAAAGCCTTTTATTAAATATGTCCACAACTTCAAGAACGTGTTGGAAAACCCGAAAGACTTCAAACATGACCTGGAAAGTGCTCCCTGGTGGGTCTGTTCCACCTTTGAGGACTTGGATGACATCACTTGGGCTTGGAATTGCATGTATAATGTTATTGCAAGCAGTCACATTCCCTTACGTAAAGCCAAGGTTAGAAAAAATTCACTACCTTGGATGAACAGTGAGATCCGGAAAGAGATGAATAAGAGATATAAACTTCTGAAAGCCTGTGATGGCACACCCGCTACTAATAAACTCTGGGTTGATTACAAATCCTCTAGGAACAAAGTATCTAAGATGCTACGACGTGCTGAAGCTCAATATTGGAAAAAGAAATTTACAGAGACCAAGGACTCAAAATCTTTCTGGAAAACTGTGAACGAGGCCACTGGAAAACCTAAGAATAAACATATTGGCCCCCTCAGAGATGCTGAAAATAAGGAAATCACAAATGACTACGAGAAAGCTGAACTGATTAACTTACTTCATAAATATTGGCAAGGAACTAGCTGAAAAATTCCCCGAAGCTGATGAACCCCATCAATTCATGTACAGAGTTACCCCCACTGTGCAGGTCTTGGAGGTCAACATCAACAAACTCAAAACTGATATCAAGACAATTAAAATTAACAAAGCATCTGGTCCTGATGGCATCTCTTCTCGTAGCTTAGCTATTGCAGGAACATCCGCCCTAGAGGGCATTGTCACTGTTTTCAAGAGCAGCATGGCTCAGTCCAGCTTCCCTAACACATGGAAGATTGCAAAAGTTAATGCAATCTTTAAAAAAGGAAACCCAGCAGATGTTTCAAATTATAGGCCAATATCACTTTTAAGTATCCCCAGCAAGCTGCTCGAAAGCCAGATCTGCAACATAATTGATACCCATCTGAACAGCTGTGGCATAAAAAGCTGTAAACAGTGGGGGTTTAGCAAGGGACTATCGACTGAAGGAATGCTTACCTCTATGACTGAAGGATGGAAGACAGCAATTGACAATGGTCTGACAGTTGGAGCAGTCTTTATTGACTTCCAGAAAGCTTTTGACACTGTCCCCCATTATATTTTATCGCATAAACTACACGCCATTGGAATATCAGGATCTCTTCATGAATGGCTAATGAGCTATCTTACTGATAGATGTCAATTTGCTGAAGTTAATAATTGCAGGTCGGTCACTGACTATGTGCGATATGGAGTCCCTCAAGGCTCGCTTCTTGGCCCCCGGCTCTACACCATATATGTTAATGATCTCCCTGACCACATCGACTCGGGAGATCTATACATGTATGCAGATGACACTACAGTTTACTGTATTGGACCAAATGTTGACCAGGTTATGTTGTCACTAAATAAATCATTGGAGCAAGTTCTCCTGTGGAGCATTAAGAATCAGCTAACCATCCACCCAATTAAAACTGAAGCAATGATACTAAGTAAAACCTCTTTTGTTGGGCCTATACCTCCCCTCCACTTTAACACTGGCCATATCGACCTGGTTAATTACACCACTTGTCTTGGAGTTAAAATTGACAATAAGCTGACATGGTCTGTGCACATTGACTCAGTGAAGAAATCTTTTACGCAGAAGGTTGGAGCGTTGAAGAGAATGAGAATCCTTCCGAAGAAGGTTCTCGAGGAAATATACTTTAAAACAATTATCCCCAGTGTAACGTATGGAATTTCGGTATGGGGAAATTGTTCTCCTTCCGCACTGAACTCTCTAAACCATATTCATGCAAGAGCAGCTCGTATTGTGAATAACCTCGACTCAACGATGGCAGATGACACATGTCTCATGAAATCCGACTGGCTGCCCATCTCTTACTTCTATAAAAAATCTGTACTGTTTCTCTTGCACAAAGTATATTTTGGAACAACGACCCAGTCGATATGTGAACTGTTTTCTAAAAGAGTTTCTTCTAGATCTTCTCGTGTTCCTAACCAATTTAATGTCATTAGATTTAGATCAGAGACCGGCAGGAACTCCCTACGATACAGAGGTCCTGTTATTTGGAATTTTGTAAATAGATTAGTTAAAGTACCTGAAAGTTTTTATTCTTTTAAACAAATTTTACGTAAACATGTTAAGACTATTGACAATTTTTCATTTGAGAAAGAGGCAACAGTAGTTGCCAACAGAAAGGACCATTTCATTTACTTTTAGATTTATATGTTAGTCTTAGTGAACACCATTTTATTTGTATATAGTAGTTCTAAGTTATTATTGCAATTTTTATATATATGTAATTCTTAATATTTAGTATAGTAGGTCCACATCAGCCCTTTGGCTGCCTTTCACACAACCTACTTATCAAATAAAGAATGTATGTATGTATGTATGTATGTATGCTCCTCCGCCATTACTGTGCAAGTATGCGAGGAGAGACTGGTAGCAATAGCAGACTTTCCCAGGCTTTCCCGGTTGTTCCCGATCCAAAGCCGTCAAGGGAACCCTTTCCACTAAGCCGTCGCCATTCATCTATAAGCCGTAACCACTGAAAAGGTTTACCTGGCCGTCACTATTCATACAAAACCGTTCACGAATTCGCCCCTACCACCTTTGCAAGTTCGCCACCTAAAGAAAAACGAGTTGGCAAAGGGGAGGGCTAACTTGCAATGAAGCGAATTTACCATAAACCCTTACTTTGCAGGTGCTCTGTGTTTGCCGAACAAAACCCGAAAGAGTATAAAATCAACCACATGATTTTAATAAAAAATTTCACCACGGTGGCGGACTTATTAGCCTCTATTTCCTCAGAGAAGCTGATTGGTTTGTTTTTTTACGTATTGAACATAATCTAAAATTCAACCGAATGAGTTTTCATTCCCTGATAGTAATCTTGAACACTTAATATCCGGCAATTTTAATATTGGCATAATCTTTTGAGATCAATGTGTGTTTGCTAATTGGAAGTTTGCTGAATCGAGGCCAGGGCGACTTTACTTGATCGCTAGAAAAGTGAAATTCGCTTAACTACAAAAAATTGGTGTCTAATTATCGTCGTAAGTTGTCATGGATGTCTCTCTTGCACAAATTATCTATGGACCACTAAATTGGGCGCGTACTTAAAAATAACTTTGAATAAACAAAAAGCAATTCCTTGATTGTTTTAACTGTAATTGGGTGCCCCTTTAAGAGATGCGTTTTCCCCTATCTCGACACAAACTGAGGCGGAATCAAATTGATTGAATTACCTTCGTGTTAGGATTAAAACTGTTCCGTAGGGAAAAAAATAATGGCGTCAATATTCAACCATACTGACTTCTGGCACTTAAGCAGCAACGCTGCTGCAAACATACTTCTCGATAATCAGCGGAATCTAGTGGTTCTTTTGGCCTGGATACAAGGTATCATTTTATGCGCAATATCGCCTCTGATTACCTTCGGGAATGCGTTTGTGGTTTTTGCAGTATGGAGAGATCCACTGAAAAACTTGCGCTCATCACCTTCGAATTTCATTCTACAATCGATGGCAGTGGCCGATTTACTTGTTGGCATGGTCTTGTCTCCGCTCTACGCATACTTGCTTTTGAAAATAGCCGTTGATAAAAGAATCGCGCTTCCATTACACGTTACATATTCTCTTGGCACTACCCTAGTCGGAGCATCGCTCGCACATCTTATGCTTTTGTCTGTAGACAGATTTTGCGCAGTTGTAACGCCTCTGAGATACAAAGCCATCATTACCTATCGGCGCGTTCACCAGGCACTGATTTTAGTTTGGTGTTACTTCATCTGCTTTGGAATCGCAGCCTTCTTTTTTGAAAACAAAGTCTTCATAGTTGGCCTTGTATTTGAGATTCACACGGTCTTTCTTCTGGATCTCACTTTTGATCTTTATATTTTTATTCTGTATCGACTTCGTAAATACTACAAACTGTGGAAACGGAGAATCATGGGCAACAGCGTACGAGTCAGTTGTAGCAATTTCACCGATAAAGAAATGCATCTTGCGAAAAGATTGGCGATTGTAATCGCTGCATCGCTGTTCCTTATAACTCCATTTTTTGTGTTTAAAAGCCTGGTGTATTTCTGCATTCCTTGTTACTCTCGTCCAAAAGTGCTACTCGCGGCGACTGTACTAGAGGTGACATTTACTTACTTGAACTCTGTTATGAATCCGTTTATGTTCTGTTGGCGACTTCAGAAGTACAGACAAGTGTGGAAATATTTTGTTAAAAGGATTTTCCAGGGTTGCACTAGGATCAAGAAAAGATTCAGGCGGAGACAAAGCTTCGATACAAAACTGTAGCAAGGTGAAATAAGCAATCACTGACAAAAAGCTGGGCACTGTAATCCACTGAAATCAGGTGCACTATTCAGACACTTTATGAAACCACAAAAAATAGAGAAATGTAACGAAAATAATTTCAAAAGTAAAATGATAATGATAGTCATAGAATTAATAATTAGACGAAGCTCTTGCACACATTGATTATGCGCATAGTTTCAAGCGCTCTAAAAATTTTTTATTATTGCTGATTTAGGTTCGCCATGCTTTAAAATTAGACAATTCGGCAATTCGCCAAATTGTAGTTCATTTACTAACAGCGAATTTTTTTTTCATTTTTATTACGCGCCTGTATGTCTGGCAAAATTTATTGATACTGTAAGAAAACAACTGACAAACGAAGACATTGACTGTTTCGTTTTGCGTTCAGTTGTTGAATTACAAGACCGCGAAAAATAAAAACGCAAGAATTCTGACGTCTCCGGAAGATAAATGTTAACGCAATAAAATATGAATCACAGCACCATACGTATCAATGTAAAATTGGCGAAAACGAAATTAATTCAAGTAAAAAAAGATAGTGCTAAATTTCAGCTGCAGCGAACTAATGAGATTTTCTTCCAGCAAACTGACAACCTGCAGTCAGGCGTTCGCTTTAATTCATTTTAGGTGACAACAGAGCTTAAGTAACTTCTCAAACACTTGACTGCAAAACCATGACATGAAATGTTTTCGTCAAATTTAAAATGATTTTGTTTTGGTAATTGGCAAGGAGCGGGCAGCACATAGGCCCGCACAAGGTAAAAAATAATGCTGTGTTTGTATGAGTCAAAGTTCCTGCATTCGGGGCGCTTTTATCTTTCTTTCCGGCTTGCGCGCATCAATTTTCCTCTTCCTTGTCACCTTCTTCGCCAAATTCTTCTTAAGCTTTCTACGAGCACTCTTTGCTGGATCTGCCACTGCCTAAAAAAGCAAAAATATGAAGATTGTAATTCAATAGAGAAGTATAATTTATGACGTTATAAGACGGAGAAATGTTCAACTGTTTTGATGCATTTTTACAATTTCACTATTTACATGCTAGCGTTAATTACTTCACCACATTTACCGAATATTTGGGAAATGTAGGAAGTTAAAGCGAATAGGAAGAAGATGTGATGATGACTCATCAAAATAATTAAAATAAATATCAATTGTTCTGAAAAAAGATAATTACGTCTTTGTTTTTTCACTACATCAATGCAAATATCATGCCAATCTCGAATTCAAACTCGTTAGTCATTCGCCTCTGTTGTGTTCGCTGATTTGGGAATTTTGGGACGCACGCTTCAAACGGAAACGGGTCCATTAAAGAAAAAGAAAAGACGAAATTCGCGCATTTATCTAAGTTTGCAAAGTAGTAGTTTTCCTCGTCAAACACACAATGCACAACTTACCTCTAGCGCAGTCTTTCTCTTTCTCGTTTCCCGCGCTTCGGTCGCGGTTTGCTGGAGACTGGCGTAGGCCCACGAGAATGTCTCCCGTTCGACAAGACTTTTGATAAGTTCCAGCACTTCCTGGGCAAGTTTCACCAAATCGGAATCTATAGAAAGAAGTGGGTTTTAAGTTATGCATCCAAATATTTGAGAAACTGGTGCGGGTTTTATGGACCAAACAAAGTTCAAAGTAAAGCAAAACCACTACAATACTAGATTCCTTTTGGCCATCTACTGAAAAGTGCCGCCTCTAGAAAAGTTTGTGTCTGTGTCTCGGTGAAAGACCATTCCAAATCGGAATTCAGTGCAGGGATGGTAAATTCCCATGAAGAAATCAGATTCCTCTTTGTTTCACGTTCTTAGATTGCATTGAACATCATTTTTACAGTTTTAAAAATGTTACCTTTATAACTAGTGGCTAATTCCAACTCTCTGTAAACTGGGCTTAAGATATCCACTAGATGTGGTTCAATGGCATCTTTTCCCAAATTAATAGACACTGCAGCGAGCCATCTCAACACACAGGATCTCTGAAAGATAATCAAAAACATGACCGAATGGATAAGCACTAATCAGCTTCTCCTGACAGCAAAACACCACAATAACTCTTTCCTAAGTTCACGGTGGACACTTCCACCAGGTTAACATAGTTTCAAAACTCATTTACCAAGAAAACAAAACAAAGAGAACCAAAACTACGCTACTGCTTTACATCACTAAAAAAGAGCAAGTACTGTTCATACCGACCTTTTGAGTCTGTTTGGGGGTTTGAGAGGCCTCTTGAGTCGCTAGCTTGTTCATGTCGCTTAGAAGGATTGCCAGTGAGAAAGTGGTTCCATCACCCGCGCTGATGCATTCTTCGTTTTCTTGTCCATGTTTACCTCCCCCCTCGTTTTGAAGCTCTAAGAGTTGCAGTGTTTTGGCCAGGAATACCAAGTTTTTGACGATCTGTTGTGGCGAAACCAAAGCAAGAAATTTATTCTCTCATGTCTGGATAAAACGTTTAGAGTGGAACAGAAAAACGCAACAAGGAATTGGTCCTACCTGCTCTCCCAACTCGTTTTCCAAGAGCGGAGAATGAAGTTGAGTGCAGAAGTCATCGCAAAGCTTGGATACCTACACGAGGTAAAGAACATGGTGACGTGATAATTACAAAAAAACTGCCTAGAGTTAAAAGAATTTTGTAAGTTCTAGAGTTCTAGTCACCTTTCCAGGTAGATCCTTTGTTAGATAAGAGTTTAATGAACTTCCCCTCTGATAACCAGTCACCAGGTCCTCGGGTTTCCACGCAGCGAATAGAAGACCAAATAATCGACTGGACACCAGTCGGACCCAGGAGTGCGGATGCAGCAAATGCGCTTCAACAGATTCTATCCAGATTGACCAAAACAGATAGAAAAGATATCACTCGACATACTTCAATAAATAAATAAACAAACAAACTTTGGTAAGCTTATGAGAGTTTTAATGCCTGCTGAAAACGACTTTTCATTCGAAATTCAGACCATTTACCAACTTCTCCCTCAATTGTTCATATAGGAGCCTCGTCAGGATGTACCTGAGTAAGATGCTTTGGTGAAAGAGGCACAACTACCCAGGGACGGGAGAGTAGACAAAGACCAAGGGGAATTTCGTGATTGTAAATTTGAGGACTACGTGTGACATTTAAAGAACAAAAGTGAGGTTAAAAGGCAAACAGAAAAAAAAAGAATTTCTTGCTGTCTACTTTCCGTCGTTTGTACATAGTAGTGAATATAATTCTCTTAGTAGTTACTTTTCTTCGCTATTTGTCTACAGGGTTTATCGTAAGGATGTAGGAGAAGTGAGTCAAATCAGACTTTTCCTGAAGCGTTTGTCGTTGCCATTGATCCAGCCATAATAGTACCATGCATGCTGTCGAGAGTCACTACTCACCCCAGATTTGCGCCATTTCCTGTTGTCGGCTTGGATTTTTAATAACTTGACAATGTTGAATAATCTTTGTCAAAAACGAGAGAGCATTAAAAAGGAGGTGATCCTTTACCCGGTGGAGACCCTCAGAAATGTCAAGTTCACCACCTTCCTCAGCACACCTCTCCTAAAAAGGGAAAAAAATCATTCTACCAAGAAATTATCAAAAAATGTTTGGAATGTAATTTTAGGCGGAGGGGAAAAGCTAAGATTAAATCTGGAGCTGCGACCTTTTGGCGGAAAGAGTTGCGCCTCTAGGAAAGAGAGTAAAGGTTGAAAAGCGTAACTTGGAAGATAATACACGTGAAGTAGGTTTTGTCCAAAAAATGTATTTACCTTTTCAAACTGATCTGGAACTATAAGAGAGCGTACAAGTGGTAATAAAGACCCAAGTCTTTTCTCGAAGCCCTTTTCTTCAACCTCAACGAAGAGACCACTAACTTGAGTAGCAAGGCGGTGTAAAGCGATCTACGAAACAGAAAATCACTGCGGTTGGAGAAAGTCACATCAAACACGTGCTATGGAAAACATTATAAATGAGATTTCTTTCAGTAAATAAACAATTAAAAAATAAATCTTGCCATGATATCGCAGCACCACAAAATACTAAGAACGGCCGAGGTACATAAACGCATTTCAATTGCACTATTCACCTTTTTATCCTTGAACCATAAAAGAACGATGGAAAACAGCTTCTGTCGCTCATCGGCGTCAAGCTTGGGAAACAAAGTAAGAATGTCACGTGAAGAGGCTTAGATTAAGTTTTCAAAGAACAGCATATTGCTTAAGAATTCATTTATTCGAGAGATTAAAGCTTGATTAGATAATCTTTCTGATAACAAATCTATCCTTATCAAGAACTACACTGACATACTTTACGAACATTGTTTTCAGAACGGGTAAGTACCTTCCCAAGAAGTGACTTAATAACAAGTGCAGTCAGCTTACGGCAACTGGCTGAGTCATCGTTTACCAGGCGGGAGGACAGCGGTACAAAGAAAAAACCAGCGTAGTCAAACAACATTGACTGAAAAAAAGAGATAAAACGGTATCATTCGTATAAGATTGAAAGTAAGGAAAATATAATGCTTAGGCCAAACAAACGAAAGTGTGAAGTACTTTATATTCGTGTTTGGAAAGTCGTTGTTCCCCACAGAGTGGAGCATTGTCTTTCTTGCTAACAACCATGATTTGCAGGTTAGACTACCTTGACTAATTATTTGGCTGATGGAAGTTTCATCATCTCACCTTTGGAAAAGAAGAAAACATAGATTCCAACATCTCCAGCGCCGATTCCCGACCAGTTTCGTATTCATAGCTAGAGTGAGATTAGGAGAAATTCAGAAGTACACAATCAGCGGGGATTGTGCGTAGTGAACTAGCTCAGAGCAGAAACCTGGACTACTCACCTCAGCTGAGAAACATAAAACTCTAGATATCTTTGTAGTTTGGTACCTAGTGGGTAATCAAGGAGAAACTGTAGCATAACCTGGAAAACAAAATTTAGGATTGTAAACACCTAGTGCAACACCTTCAACAACAACAACAACAACAACAACAGCAACAAAAACAACAACAATAAAAAGGACCACAGCTTAAGTGTCCACAAGAGGCTATACGCGAGAGGGTACTGCCACCCAACTCAGGACACTCTGAGCTGCTATGATAAATTAACAATATTTATAATTTGTTACTTAAAAAAAAGTAATAAGAATACATAGGTAGGCAGCAAATAACAAAGTGGTTGAGTAAATATCCAGCAGTTACCTGTCTTGACTGGAGCTGAACGGATGGTGAACTACCTGTGATTGACAGCTGCCCAACTTTCCACATGACATCGTGGATTTCAGGAACAATGAGTTTTCTAGAGAGAATTGCCTACGAAAACAACAAACAAATAAATAAACAAATAAACAAAAAAATAATCTTTCTGAGAAACTTCGTTTTAAATGCATTAAAGAATATCAGGCAGTGTTTATCTAGGTAACTCATTCACGATGTTACTGAGTACAGTGTTTGTACGTTTACAGGAAGGAAACCCACAAAATAAGATAAAATACTTACCTTCAGAAGAGGAAAAGCTGTTCCTTGTTTGGTGTGATCATGAATGTCTTCCTCCACAAATCCCAGCAACACCTGCAGGTGTTTCTCAGCGACTGTGAATTGCTTGAAGTCCCTTATGACAACGGTCATGGCCTGCAAATGAAAACGCACATGCGACTGTTAGAATGTGTAGAAAAAGACAACAAATGCAACAATGATTTATTTGTATTAATTATGTTCCCTTGAAAGACTTCCAAAATGCAAGTGATAATCAAACAAAATTTTGGGTGGGGCACCTAAAAGTCTAAAAGTTAAGTACTGGGGAGAAAGGTTTTTAAAACTTGAAGGTATCGTTTTAATGCATTTTCTGCACTTATAAAAATGCATTCCAAAAAAATTCGTGATTATAATAATTTTCGCCCTACAAAGTTTGTTTTTTCCTTGTTCAGTGTTGTGATAGATCTGTCCATCCCGTGGAAGACAATTCCGAGCACAGATTGCCCTAATAAACAACGTAAAGAAACACAAATAAAGCTGTCTGTGGTCATCTTCGCTTGCGTAAGGCGCCCACACACATGCATATCCTGTTCATTGATGCTCGCTTTACCAAGCCATACCAGTATTTCAACCTACTCGCCTGGTACCAAAGTTACCACTGAGTACATTTTCCTTAAAAAGGATTCTGAAACTTAATACACGCATTCGTACCTTAAAGGCCGAGATGAGCATTTCAAAGTTCTCTCCAACTTTTGCACCGGCTTTTGCATAGTTTTTCAGTATGTTGAAGAGGAGTTTTCCCATTGTGGGGACATGCTTGTTCAACGACGGAAGTGGAAACTTAACGAGCCAGCTGACACAACGGAGAGAGATCGTCACAACCTGGAGATAAAATATAACTGATCAGGGCATTACAGCGAAAATTTGAGCCATTTTTAAGCAGTGGAAAGGGTCCGGAAACGGCCCTTAGTAGAGCAGATGAAAAGAGAGATGCCAGAAAGAAGGAAAAAAGAAATGTCGTTCCTCTTGGAATCCGTAACGTAGACTTCGGAGAGGGAAGGGAAAGTAAAACAGATTTCTCCTTTATGGCCAAAACTCAAAGACAGTAATACAGGCGTTATTGCTCATCCGTAAACTTTACATAGAAACTATCAGGACAAATAAGAATAAAAACGTTTTCTGTGTTCCTTAGAGACGACAAACTGTACCTTGTTGTATTTGGATTTGAGGCAGTCTGTAAGAAGCACCACGAAAGGATCCAACATTCGTTGATGTTCCTGGTCTGAAGGCGAGAGTTTTCCGTGTTTAAGCAGCATATACAGCAACTAGAAAATTGAAAAGCACGAGGGATCTTCCAATTTGGATTTCGTATTTATCAACACAATGAAACCAGTCAAAGTTATCACAGAGTATTCTGCATTAAACAATAAATAACATCACGGTAAAGTTTCGCGTCACCAGCATAGAAGGTTCTGATCGCTGAGCTGGTAATGTTTAGAAATTGTAAACATGGAATTTTACAAACTTTAATCGCCTCTTTCGTTGGCTGAGACAGTTTGCTTCACTCACCTGAAGACCAAACTCCACTAGAATGTGATGATTTGTCTTGTTGTTGTTCTGAGGGACATTACCTCCTCGTACAGGGTTGGGTGGAAGCAACAACGAGCTACTCGATTGGAGCCTGGGATCGGCTGGAGTCGAAATTGCTTTCTTTTCCCTGCATTTGAAAAATAAACAAATGAGCTTCATAGGAAAAAGCTGCTACCGGATGTCTTTGTAAATTAGACATATTGAAATTTATCGTTAACTCAAGATAAGACCATATAGCTGAAAAGTTTCTCTACTCTCGTCATATTGTGAAGAAAAGTTAAAAGTTAAATTCTTCTTGGAGTTAAAGAGTTGAGAAAATGGTACATGCACAAAAGAAAAAAAAACTAAACGGCTCCACGGCAATAATGAAAAGTGATCAAAATTGATTCCTTTACACGGCTTGAGGAGCATGCAAAATCTCTTTACTCGTACCAAGTTCATTTGAACAGGAACTCCACGAGGAAACTGCCAGTTTGACTCCTTCGGGTGACAGAGATTTGGATTTTTTTCCCCCTTCCCCCCACCCCCTCGAAAAAAGAGAAAAATACTTTCTCTTCTTTGGCTCCCTACATAAATACTTAATTGTTTACACCACTCACTCTTGCTTCATTTTCAGCATCCGCACATTTTCACCAGTTATTCCGTGGATAAACACAAGCAGTATCGGCGGAGTGATGCTTGCGTTCGCTTGTAGTCCAACACTAATTCTTCGGAGGACTTCTTCTACTCGACGAGCAGTTTTGTGAATTTGAGTGGAGTCAAGAACCTTAAAGAATTAACCATCAAGCATTTTAGTAAATGTATTTTTATTTTTTGGAAATGTTGGTAAAAGCTGTCACAATTCCTATCACCCCAAAAAAAAAAAAAAAAAAAAAAAAAATTGAAGAAAGAAATAACGTCAAGGAAGTAAGAAAGGTTATGGAGACTCTGAGCTCACATGATTAACTAACTAAGCTAAGCAGCGACCAAACTGGAAACGTAAGCCACACAGAGCCACAATAGTGGACTTCAAGTGAATAGAAACAAACGTATGTTCACTTTTCACTTTTGCGTCCACTTTTGAAGTCGTTTGGGTGTCGCCTGGGGCGGAGGAACCACGTCACTGCTTGCGATTATACATATAATTTGGCTGATTTGCGCCTATAGACACAAATCAGCCAAAATATTTCCAAGTCCGTCAGGTTTCTCAATTAAAATCCGTTTTAATGTTCTTCTTTCGAAGATTTATCATTGCCTCTTTTCTGTCATTACATTTTTCAGAGCTTACTTTTTAAAGTAAAGATTATATTTTTGCACCGCAAACAAGAAGTCACTCAAAATATCGTTACGTAACTAATTAAAAAAAAAACCAAACCAAAACCACAAAGGTTTGCTCCTGTATCGTAAATATAAGACCCACCTCCTTCAAGGGGGATATCAGAAGAGTCAGTGACCGCGTTCCGGCAAATTTTGCAAGAACTTCGAATGTGTCAAAGCTTTTGCATGTTTTTGCTTCATGAAGCTTGTTGACAATCTTTTCCACCTCACGCTCTTTAGCAACTTCTCCGAATAAATCCTCAACTAGCACCTTTGAAAAAAATAAAAAGATAAAGAACTATTGGTAGTAGATCTAACGTGGATAAATTATTTGACTATTTGTACAGTTTTCCCCACTGGTTCGCAAAACTAGGCAAAAAATCTCGGTGACTAGCAAACCGTCGGGCTAAGTGACAGTTTGAGCTCCTTTGTGTCCAGAACTTCTTGAATTATTGTTTACCTCCTTGCATGCATTGCATACCAACGCAGGACAGTCTACGGTTCCCTACAGGCGTATTTCTACACCAAAGTCAAGTAGAATCGTGAGGTGAATAGAGCAGTTTTTTAGTAGTTGTAGAAAAACTAAATCCAAAGTAATAACTGCGACCAATTAAAACAAAGGTGAAAGTTATGATTAGCCAATGAGAATTCAGAGTAAGAGCAGGCAAACTGCTTGAAACACGGGAAACTCAAGTGACCAAGTCGCGATGAGCTTCAGCTTTTTAATATGACTGATTCAGAGGGCGGCGCGATTTTTCTAGACCAATCACAGAGCGCCAAAAAAACAAATCCGGGCGGCGGTCTCAGACAATCAATAGATTTCTTCATTTCTTTTTGAGTTTGATAATTGAAGGAGAAATAAATATTTCTCTGAAAGCAAAATGCACAGGTTCACAATCAAAAACCGTATCACTCTCGATTGTGATTGTGTATTATTGCAGATTCCCATTTTAGTCGAGTATTCTTGACATCGAGTAAGGCAGGTGCATGAGCCCATCAGAGAGCGCGTTTTGTATCGATGAACGAAAAGAGCGTAACTGATCTTAGGTCAATACTACAAGCAAACACTTCACATTGTCGAAGCAGGTAAACGATCGTGAGCCAAGTCTTGTAATATAACAAAACATTGACCATTACAAAACATTAATCTTATGAATAAGGTTTTAATTTCATTTTTTTTTTCAAAGGGCGGTTGCTGGTACTAAGCTACAAACTTTAATAAATTGTCTCGAATGGATTATGATATCTATTATGATTATGATAGAAAAATTCACTGCCTAACGAGTGAATTCCACGTTAAATTCCAGGCAGTGAATTTTTCTTGATTCGCATAATTGAATAAAAATAATAAAAAAAGAAAACAATAATAATATTTTTTGTTTTTATCCTGAGCGCGCGCCCCAGAAAGCCATTTCAAAGTCAACTGTCAGAACTGTCATTGCGTTAGCGAATAAGAGACAAGGTCGTACACGTTTAAATCTTCGACAACTTTATTTGTACCTTGTGCTTGTTTTTACATTTGTTTTCAAACTTTTTAAACAAGCTTCACACTATCTTAATGATAATAGTGGTATTTTGAGTGTGAGGATTTCCTCATATTTTCCAAAAATTTAAATTTCAATTCAAAATTTGGCATACATTCATTTTCTGTAAATTTGTTCATTTCCAAGGTGATATTTTTCGTAGTACGAGTTGCATTTTTGTTTTCACGAGAGCAACAATTTTTGCTCGCGACTCACGTCTGCAATATTTCCTCATGCATAAGTGCAATTCCACGCTAAATACCCTCCCTTCAATAGCCAATCAGACCGCGAGTTTACCTTAAGCTACACGATTCTATCGCAAATTGCAAGAAACATCGACGGAAGTGTAATGAAGTATTCAACGCAAAATTTAACAACTTTTTGCCTTTTCAAGCAATCAGTCAGAAGAATATTGATATAGATGGGGCTGAGGCGATTCATCAGAAAAAATAAGACATTTGAGGAATAATGATTGTACATATATGAAAATCATATATATGCACTGCGGTGAAGAAACGAATATAAGAGATCCTCGCAGCTATGAACACTACTGAACTATTAGTTGAAATAAGACCAGAAAAAATTGAGTTCTCATTATTTTTATTGTTTTAAAAAAACTGAGTATGGTCGTGCTAGCTTCTAATTTCCCCCTTATTATTTCTGCGCTTAGTTGAATTTCTTCAATGCAGTGAACGAAATATACGGATATCATTATCAATCTACATTTTATACGGTCAAGTTTCTAACTTATTACATAACTTTTTTACATAAGTACATTAGGTGTGTGTTCAACCAGATAACTCTGATGAACCAAAGTTTTAAAATGAATCGTTTTAGTCTGACGACATTCTTGAAAAAAAAAAAAGGGTCAGAATGTTTCATCAAAAAATTATCGCTATAGATTATTTACTAATTGCCACCTTCCCTACGAACAGCCCTTGAATTTAAGGGCTCAAGCACTATACCAGAAAGTCAACAGATTCAATGAGCGCTACAATGATAAATTACAACAAAAAGGCATCAATCCCTGAATCTGTCCGGAGACAAAAACTTGTACTTTTACTGTGCCATTCACTTAAAAACCCTTTTTGGCAAAACGTAATTAAGTCGTGAAATTGATTTCGGATAACATTTATGTCCTTCAAAAGTTATTTTAATTTTTATCAGTGGACATTTCCTATGGACTTTTGTGTTAAACACTTCATTAACTTTTTGCTTTAGAGAAGTTATTGAATTTTGTTCTCAAAGGTTATGACGCTCTGAGTTTAATATTTCATTAAAATTTTGCGTTAGAACAGCTATTGAATTTTGTTTCCAAGACATTTCGTCACTTTGCCTTAAATGCTTTATTACATTCTACGTTAGCATTACATTTTGCGGCGATGCTTACGAAATTTTGCTTTTGTATTATATTTTTCCATTTTTAGGCGTGACTGTCCTTGACACAAAAGAGAACACTCGTCGATTTGATCGCACAGTGATACAGTCACAAGTGGAATTTAAAAACAACTGAGCGTAAAAAACAATTGGTAACATGTTTGATATATTTGATAGAAAACGCGAACGGCTAAATGTACCTCTGAATTCATTTGTTTTTCTTCTTATCATTAAATATCATTAAAGAGATCCACAAACGAAATAAAAAATGTATCTCGTTTTTTCGGAAAACGAGAAATATTTCTCATTACTACAAAAGGGCAACAGGAATAATAGTAGGGGTTGGTTATTGAAACGAATTCCAAATTTGGTTATTGAAACGAACTTGGGAGGCGGTTTAGACAAGTGATGAACTAAGAGATATATTCAGGAGTCGGACATTTTGGGAAAATAACTGTTTCTCCAGTGTGGGCCACGTGCCTTTTTGTTTCTGCTCTCTAAATCCAGCGCTTACCTACGACCTTTGGCTAACTCGGAGATGGCTTTCGCGCACTTTTTAGTGAAAAACAGCCAAACTCTGTTTAAAAAACTGGCCATGGAGGTGTAGCTCTGTCAATTAAGTTAAAAAGTAGGTGCTGGAAGAACTTGGACTGTTCTTGGCCTCACGGTGCGCTCACAGTCCAGTGTACCAAGAGTAAGGCTCTCATTGTTACTGTCCCTGTGTCTCACAGTAAAATCTGTACAATCCTGTGTCACGACTGTAGAGTCCGGAATCACTTGGTTAAAGCACCTCCGACCAAGAGGAGTTAAAATCGCGCGGAAGCCGCGCCGATAATTTTCTATAAAAATCAAGTAGATGCAGGGGTTAATTGCACTTGTGGCATGCCCCAGAAAGAACGCTGGGAACACTAACTTGCACACCTTTAGACCGTAACGATTTGAAAGTACCGGATAGAAGAAGTGGAGGCACCAGCCGAATGCAAAAACAAACACAATAGTAAACATCATGTTTATCACTTTACGTGTTCGTTTCAGACGATTTTTGTATCTTCTCTGTGTGTTGGTTAATTCTTCTCCCACCGGCTTTCGTTTCTTGAGAGACACAAGTATAGCGCTGTAGAGCACAGTAAGAACAAACAATGGAATTACATAGAAGAGTACAAACGCGAAATTTAAGTACACGTCCGAGGCCGTTTGAGATTCCATTTGAAATACACAGAAAGTTTTGCCGTCTTCAGTTTGCACAAGGCGTAAAGCGTAGAACATCGGCGAGCGAACGGCCGCGGCGATGATCCACACAAGCGCGATTGACGCATTCGCGACCAGGTTAGTAATGATTCGTTTTAACGGAAACAAAACTGCAAAGAACCGATCCACTGCCATCACAATGAGAGTTAAGACAGAAACTGATGCCGAAAGTTCTTGGGTTATTGGAGCAATTTTGCAAAGAAAATGCCCAAGGCCGCCGCTTATTCCCCATTCAGAGCCGAGAAAAAAGCGCGAAATCATCCTGGGCATGTAGAACACCGTAATGAGAATGTCCGCAGCAGCCATATTAACGACAAAGAAATTTACCGGCGTTCGCATTTTACGGTTCTTCAAAACGACGGCGAAGATAAGGGAGTTTCCGATTAATGATACCAGCATTACTATGACATACAAAGACACTTTCACAACCAAAGACACTGTGGAGGTATCTGCACCACAGTAAAGATTTGTAGCGTTTGTTGCATTTGACATGTCCGTCATTTTGTTTTTATTTTCGAAAGAAAACCCAAACTTGTTTAGTAAAAAAAGAGGTAAATATCTTCAGTCTAATACCTCAGTCCTTCTTGGATTCAGAGGTAGAATACGTCAGTTAGTGCACGTTCAAAAGCTGCCGGTGGAAGATAAATGTTGCCGGCCTCTTTCGACGACGCGGATCTGTTTTGCGCGAGAGGTACTGTAACTATGAAGTGAAGACTTAAAAAGAGCGCAAAACCGTACAGGACTGAAATTCTGAGCCTTCGAGTTTATAGTCACATCCGTTTTCCAATTGATTTAATTACAGCTGATTGTTACATCTATTCCTTCACACATCTAATAGAGCGTTCTCTAGTTTGGTCTTTATCACTTTAGTCACAGCAGGCCGGGTAAATATGGTGCACTAGTGGTAAATATCCGAAATTCTCCGAAACACTGAAATCCAACTCGTGTCGAAATCCTGAATAAATTGCCTAGAAACCTCAGACTTGTTCAATCGTCTTCTTAACAGCTCTCCAAATAGGCAAGTTTCAAGACCTCTGGCGAAATAATATCGACAGAAATAGTTTCTTCTCTGTCTTTCGGCTTTAAACAGTAGTACCTTTGTGGAGGCGTAATTCGATTTGAACTCCGGAACGGGAAACGTCAAGTCGTGTGACTGTTAAACATTGTGGGCAGCTGTTAAGTATTAAGACAGGTGACGAAATTCTTTGAAAAGCATTCCAGAAACACAAATCAGCAGCGTTTTTTGTTGGAAATCACTTGAGATGTTTGAATTTTTAAGAAGAGCAAAATTCTTCTCTTATGTGAGTAAACTACCTTTGACACCTAGTAAAAAAGATTTCGTTGTAAAAAGAAGATGATGAAAAGGTTTGTTGACTATCCATGACATTCAAAGCTCTTGAACAAACACGTCGCCGTGTGAATAAAGGATTTATGGTGTAAAATTGTACAATTCTTCCTCTAAAGTGCAATTACGGCTTCACATAAAGACAAATAAACTCCGGTAGCAGTTTGGAAAACTCTACCAACAATTGGCCAACATAATTCGTTATCGGTTCTACTAGGCCACGCTAAACAATTTCTTTAAATAAGAATAGAATAACAATTGTCTCAAAGGATGCGTTATTAAGTTAAGCTGCAGCTGCAAACTTCGATATCATAGATGACTTTTCGTCAACGAATGTCTACTCACTAGACTTCGCTCATTCTTCTCTGACATTACTATCATCTCGAAAACTGGCATAATCTCTAAATTTAGATGCAACCTACAAACAAGCTGCATGAATTGAATAAATAACGTTTTAAGATCCTTCAACAGGTAAACGCAAATGTGCAAAATTCAAACTGCAGCTCACAATATAGCATATCTCAGAACTGCGTGTACAAGATCCAAACACCAGTTATTTCTGTTCATTAGCGCTTTTTAGTTTACTATTGTTTTTCCTTTGTACGCTGTTTCGTTTACAAATGTTGTTATTACTCGTTTTCGCTCGTGTGGAATTAATTCGTAAAAAAATGTTATGAAATTTATTCGTATCAGTATTTGAAGCTAAAATTATTCGTTTCCAGTTCAAAGAGTTAGTTTTTCAGTCATTTTGTTTGGCTCGTTGGAGGCCATCGTTCGTTCTCGCAGGTCACTGTTCAAAATCGCAGCACGAGCAGTAAAATGTGAAAAAAAAATCAGCAATACATCTAAGTGATAATCGTTAAGTTCAATCTTTTCTTTTATCCTGCTTTATTTAAAATTTTTGTTTTTTGTAACTTTCTGTTTCAGATTCAACCGCACTTTAAACGGAGTTACCACCAGTGCAGAATCTTGAAGAAAAGCGAGTTAAATTTCATTGCAGGAGGTTTCCCTCATGGAGAATACGGCATGTTTGAACCCGAAATGGAACAAAAATAACTCTGGAAAACGTCTCGTATATAAAGGTTTCAGTCAAACGCAATATTTAGTCCTCTCTCAAGAAAATCAGCCAACTTTCCACTGGAGATCTGATTTTTCAGCGAAGATACTCGTTTTAAGATTTAAATTAACTAAAATGTGAACAATTAGGGATTAAAATGAATGAATATGGAAATCAGTAAGTCACGCCGGTGTATTTCATACGATTTTCTTGGAATCGCAACAGTCCACATTAACTAGAGATCGTACAACAGCGAAGTTACTTCGGCCTCACTCCACTACTTTGACTTCTATAACAAGATCTCAATGGCAAATTTCGTTACTGACTAACAGTGATTCTTGAGGAATTGTTCTACACTTGAGAAATTGATGTTTACTTGAAAGATATCTTGGCCATATTTTGATACTTCTTATTTTCTCACCACTTGCCTGTTCGACAATGTATTTATATCGTGGAGAGAAATTATTTATTGGTCACTCCTGAGAGTTAAAGGATGGGTGGAAAAAAAAAAAAAAAGCTGAGTACTCTAAATACTTCAGTCCGCCAAATCGGATTTTCTATCTGCACGCACTTGAGCAGCCGTAGTCTTTACACACACGTGACCAAAACCGGACCCTATAGGGAAACTGGCATTTGCACCCTCGATTTGAGCATTTTTAAGATAACACATAAACAAAAGTTAAATGTATGATAATAATCTTCAAAGGGAAAGCATCCTCAAAAATGAGTAACGAAGCTTCCTTGCGTTACCTCTACTAATCCTTGAAGACACGCATCCAGTTCCCCTGCGGCCAAATTGTCGCTCATTTTGTCCAGTAATGTATGAATGGTGAAACCGAGCACGTGAAGCTAAAAAAAAATCGTATAATTATATATTTTTTCTAAATTTCTATTTTTTTCTTTCTATAGAAAAAAACCAACAACAAAACAAACAAACAACAACAAAAGCAACGGCAACAATGGCGAAGTGGTGCTCACTGAGATCTGTTATCAATCCCCGTAACCAGTGCCGAGTTTGTAGGTTCTCTCCCAACGTTATCTCTAAGTTCTGCGGTTCTTCCATTACAATACGTATGCTCGCATCTCCTCAAACAAGTTAATAATTTGACACCGAACCTGTGTATCAAGTCATGCCTTACCTGGTATCCTCTTGTTAGTGAACTCCTGAGCTCCTTTAGTACGAAAGGGAAGTACTGGGTTCCAAGAGAAATAGTGATCTTTGCGAGCGTATCCCGCGCTGCATCACGGACCTCCCGTGCTCTGCTCCTCAGTGTGTGACAAACACGGAGAAGAAGACTGCAAGAAAGACAGACAAAGAACTGGCTCAAATCTAAAATAACGCTCATAAATTCATAAATTAGAGAAGTAAAGAAAAAGCTGCAAGGTTACAAAAGAGCAAAGAATGAAAGGATTAGAGAGGAAAGAAAGGAAAAATGAGCATCGGCGGAATTGATGACACTATCGATCGAACGGACAAACACATGGATGACCGGCCGACCGGCCGACCGGCCGACCGGAAGAAGAGGACGAACGATCGATGTGAGAGAATTATGAGCTTGAAAGCAAATTTTTTTATCAACTTACCCGGGTAGATGTAAGTGAAGCGCATGCTCAGGTAAGGATTGAAGCAGTTTAACAATGGCGAGAATGACAGGAACACGTAATATATCCTCTTCATCTTCGGCCTTCTGACGACTCAATCGGTGAAAATGAGCCGACTTGTTCTAAAAAACGAAACAAAATTATAGGGTTACGTTTATTGTAGACGAGAAAACGTGTTCTTCCTAGCAAACTCTTTTTGAAACTTTTTTGAACACCCTAAATAAATCAACAAAACCTCTTTCATTTCTTTTCCCAGGCTCGTGACAAGGAAAAAAATACTTCTCAACACTACCGAGCAAATATCTTAATATCTTTCCTATTCTATTTTCGCACGTGACGTTTCCCACCTTGTTAAACCTAGTAATACGAACCTTGTGATGGTCTGGCTCACCCTAGAGTCTCTGAGGCTCAGAAGGAATCCGAAAGTCTGAAGTTCGATTCCTCGTGAAGAATGGGAATTTTTTACTTTGTCCCGAGGTCGTGTTTATAAGAATACAAAAATCTTCCTTAAAGTTCTCTTAAAAAGCACAGTATGCAGAGCACACAACCGATGAAGCAAGACTGGTTGAGTTCGAAACATTAAGGGAGACCAGGCTAGTTTAAGATGTTCAACATAGCACTCCAACTCCGTAAGGAAGAACGAAGTCATTCGTCAAAGTAATAAAAGCTCGTCAACCTCAACATACATAGAAAGGCTGGATGTACTTTTGCCATTCAATTAAACTACTTGTGGCCTAACGCGTGTATTATTGCGGGTTCTACACCCTCACCTTCTTAGTCACACATTTTTGCAATTGAGGTAAAATACTGGAGGTAATTGTGTTGTAGATACGCAAAGCAAGTTCTTCTTTGTTAAGATCTGGTGTATCGTCCTTTCCAGTGTCTCCTGCTTCACCGACATCATCGTCTTCCCCTTCTTTATCATTGTCATCATCATTGACAGCATTATCTGCATCATCAGCTTCTTTCTTTCCATCAGGTCCATTTTTTTCACCTGCGAGATTTGTTTTTAATCTTTCGGTGTCTTTGCTGCTTTCTACAGCCAAAAACATAAGTAAAATAAAAAAAGACAAAAGAATAAATGAGGGTTATAAGAATAGAGCAATTTGAACTTATTGTCTTAAAAACCAAACCAAACCAAAGTTATCAGAAACACCAACCAGAAGAAACGCTAATACTCTGAAGAGCCAATAAGAAATCGAGGTAAAACCAACCAAACTACCTAAAGCACGGAAAACGCGGGTAACAAAGTCGTGATTGGTTTAAGTTTTGCATGTGATTGTTTAAGAAAGTCTGGACCAACCACAAAACGAAATAAAACCAAAACAGAGCAATTCTGGATCACTTTTGACACTCGATTGAAAATTACATTAACAGAAAGTGTACCAGCTCAGAAATTCAACGTATTCTACGTCATTGATGATGAGGGTCTCTAACGGCTGACGGGACAAAAAATTTAGCTTCTTGTTTTTAAGTTCTTCATTTACAATCTGCGTTACCCTCCATCATCCCCAGCCACGCTTGTTCCTCTTTTACTTTTACTTGTCTCTGGTGTTTTCTATCTCACCATACATTGTCAAGTATTCTCTTGTTTCAGGCAAATTTATGGTAATTTGCAAATCGAAGAAAATATAAACAAAAGTACCATGAAGTTGCTTCCTTATGTTGTTGTATCAAATCCTTGTGAAGTACAAGGTTACCGAAAGCCAACGAAAGTGAGACCGTGGTTTTCGTGTTTTCAGTTCCTCGACCGCTGAACCTTTAAAAGTTGCTGTTTTTAAACTGATACCGAGAAGCAAATTGGACAAGTACGGAAAATTGAAGTGAGACCTTGGACAACTTCAATTAACTTAACATTCTGCACACCTCTCGAAAGTTCTGTCTCCAACTGTTTGGGAACACCGCTGAGGTCAAAGTGAAAGTTGTTCAGAATGATCACCACAATCCTGAAAAAAAGAAAAGATTTAACATCAATTTTTTGATGTGCCCGTGCCAATTTAACTATTATCATCTTTGATGATACATTCCTGAGTTCTCTTCCTTATCGATACAGGTTTGCATCCATGAAAAGATACACAGCTTACCTGACGATCACTTTCTGGAAAGTTTTTTCAACTGGTAACAGTTTCAGATAGTGTCTTAGAAGGCTGCAATACTTGGACCAAGGTAAACTGGCCGATATTGTTCCAATAGTGGTGACAGCCTCAGTCACAAGATTATGTTCCCTCGCAGCGGTGTGATCAAAAACACAGTGTGTTACTAATGGCAACAAGAAAGCTGTAAGGGTTGTGGTTCTGAGGCTGCGCTGCTGACAATGTGCCTGTAGGCGACGCAGAGCACGTATACGACGATGAAGCTGGAAAAAGAGTAACATTGAAGTAATACACCTTAAAACTCAACCGATCAGATTATTCTCGCCTTAGAAATAAGCCTTTTCCCTTATTCTTTTTAGTTATAATCATGTTGGAATTTCAGTTTTCTACGCTTGACCACCTATTTTTCTCGAAGACAGAAATGTATAGTGATTTGTTTTGTGCCATGGCTGGATTCCTCAAATGCCAAAGAAACAGTAACGAAGATGAGTTCTTAGCAATCATTAATGCTTAACCATCCTTTCAAAAATCAAAAATCACACTTTCTTCGTAGAACACCATTCATCGACAAACTTCAAAATGGAAGGTAAGCAAAAAGGTTTTGATACACTCTACACACGTCACAAAATTTAATTCAAAATGGTCTGTATTCCTTTGTTACCTTGCAATTAAGGACACGTAACGTAAACTAAACATTCTATAAACCCAAAAATATCTAAGGTTAAGAAAGCAGTTTGAAATATCGCACATTTCTCTTTGCATTTAGCCTTGCAAAATACACATAAAAGGGCTGACGATGACAATGTGACAGGTCCGTGCATTTAATCTTTGTTCAGTGCAAGCTGAGGACAGAAAAGAGGTTTCTTAATAGAGAAGTCTCACTTTGTATTTTCCTCACCTGAATATGTTTGATGTTTTCAAAAAAATCTTTCTCGGGATCATCGTCCAAGAGAACCTTGAGGTCTGAGAGAGAATCGTGTTCAAATTGGCGGACCATAGTTGAGAGCACACCTAGAAATTCGTTTCTGGCAAGCTAAGGACAAAAAATTGTAATTAATGCTTAGTTTTAACTTTCAAATGGATAACTTTAATCGTATTCCTCATCAAAAGAAATAGGATTGATGAAAAAATGTTGAAGAGTTTGATCTTAAAAAGTAACTACACGTAAGTCTTTCATACAAGTCTAGTGCCCACACCCCCGGAATTTATCATGGTTTCCATAGCAACTATGAGTACCAATACTGACAATGGAAGGGATCCAGGGTTCATTACCTTTCCCATCCACTCCTCTCCCCTCTTTATTGGATTCCTTCCCTTTTACTGACTATTCACTGATAACCCAACGTTCTTCGGCGTGGACAGAAACAGTGCGAGAGTAAAGGGTTTGGTCCAGAAATAGAATGAGAGCAATGACACCGTTGGCCGCTAAACATAAGACCACTATGGTTCCCTTTTTTTTTTCCAAATAACAGTGAGAAATTTCAACACAAATACCTCTTTCTTTGAAGCAAGAACCCTCTTGAGAGCCGGTAACAAACACTTGATGATAAGAACATGAAATCGCTCATCGTTGACTCCACTTCGCTGGACAATATTGTGCACGACACAGCTCATGCAGCTGCCAGCACTGTCTCGAATTGACATATCATCGCTGTTTAAAACAAAATAAATGCAGTTGTGTAGTATTGGTAGAATCTCCTCGGTTTTAAGGGCATCTTGTCCAATCAAACGCTTAGCATTTGCAAAGCCGGTGAGTCTTCTATCATAATCAGGTTCTTCAATGCGCTGAGGATTCCAGGAATTCAAATCAGCAAGAACATCGCAAATCTCGGAAGAGAAAGTTGAATCGATATTCCCCACCTCAAGGAACACGTCACATAGACATTGCCTTGTACTACGAACGATTATCTGCGAGAAAAGCTTCGATAAAGACGAAACAAAGTTTCTGGGAGTTTCGACGTTCACCAGAAGGCTTTTAACAGTTTTTAAAATATTGTTTGCTGTCTCTTCTTTTTGATAACTGCTCATGAATGGTAGCAGCACCTCTACAAGAGTAGAAGATTCATTGGCGTCTTTCACAAAAGGACTTAGTTTAGACAACACTGAAAGTTCTCGTTGGGGAAGCATATCTTTTCCTCTGTTCTTTCCTTTAGAACTGTCGATGGCTTTTTGTACGGATCGACTCAGATATTCCAAGAGCTGTGAGAGATGCGGGAGAACCAACAATGTTCCGTAACTTGGTCTACTTTCGTGAAACTCGTAGCTCGAAAATATTCTGAAAGAAGGAAAAAAGGAAAATTAAGAATATACTCAAACCATCCCTGGGTTTCCTGACCAGCACAAAGATTTAGTAGAAAGTTAGCTGCAGTAAGAAATGCTTGGAGTAATTTCCAGCGTAAAAAAGTAAAATAGTTAATTTCTTTTCTTCATCCAATTGGTTAACTTCTTGTTGAAAATGATTCCGGCACTAAAAAAGCCATGGATTTATGGTAAAACCCACAAGAGAAATGCTTTGCAAGATTGGGTTTAGCCTTCGTAGCAGTATTTTCTGTTTCCTTTTGGCTTAGCGAGAGTCACTCATGGGCACAAGGCGAAAGGGAACCAAAGAAAAAAATTAGGAAGTGTTCCCTTACGTCTTTTTCCTTCGCGTGAAACATGTTCAGCTAGCGCTTCGCGCGTGTGCTGAAACGAAAAAAGGGGTGTTCCGTAAGCTAGGATAGGTTGGTCATAAAGATGAAAATCATTAAACAGACTAGTAATATTTCTCTCACCCCTGTTCAGAGCCACAATCCATCAAATCATTTTCTTCATCATCCGCCTCTAATTGACTTGCATCAAGAAGATTGTCCGCCATTTCCATTACCATGGCAACTACTTCCGATGATATTGACGGAACGCGAAGACACTCGAACACACATGACATGATGGACAGGTTGGGCTTCTCGACTGGTTTTCTTGACAGCAAGGGAAACAAACGATAATTCTTTGACCAAGCGAACAGGAGCTTGAGCAATGGAGTTGGGTGTTGGATGCTCTCTTGATTTAATTTCTCTATCTGGAAGAGAAATCGATGTTGTAGACACAGTCACTATTTACAGTAAGAGCTATAGTCAGCTTGAAAACTTGCTGCATCAAGCTTAGATTTTGTATAACTGACCTGTTTCCCAGGCCCTATCACGATAAATGAATAATGTGTATAGCGTCAAATCACGTACCTAAAGGCCGGTGAACATATAAAGGCCATATTAGGTTTTGCATTTCATATGCAGTCGCATGTGAGTTAGCAAAGCTCTAAATTTGCATGTTCATCGAACTTTCCCATAGTTTCACAATCAATTCGCATTTTGATATAATAGATTTTTCTTCGTCAGAGAAGGAACATGCTTTATCATGTAGAAAGGAGTTGAAATAATTGGGCAGTTAAGGTGGGAGTGAACGTGTTGTATTTGATGGGGCGAAATTATCGTGATGGGAGCGAACTTGTAACAGGATGAAAACTACCTGAGGCCATACGGCAGACGAGAACAAGGCGTCGCAAATAGGTTTGAAGTCATAATCCGCCATGGACTCAAAAAATTCCGTCAAGCGCATGATAGCCATCTGTCGGATTGTTTTCAGCTGCGAGATCAGTGATGGTTGCACCTAAAAGCAAGAAAAAATAATTAAGAATATACATATAAACCTAATGCACTGTATTAGAAAAAGTTTTAAGGGTGCCGCCATGTACCACAGATTCAGAAAGTGGCAGAGTGGAGAGGGAAGTTCGATTGAGGGTAAAGTGCTTCTTGTTAGTTTTGGAGTGGCTACCTCACTGAAAACTAATTACTTGACGTATCCTGAGTTATACTGGAATTAGTTTTTCTATAAACTTAAAAATTAGCACGTTAAAAAATGGGCTTCAAAGTTCGGCTGGCAACACGAAATCAAATTGTCAAGTAAAGAGTGGTAAGAGTACCTACTGCTAAAGAGCAACGTACGTGTAGTTTAACGTTGATAAACCACTTTTTAAGAACGACTTTAGCACTTAAAGTCAAAATGGACGATTTGATCGAGGCCCTGGGATTAGGAGCAGTGGCTAAAGACTTCAATCAAAGGAAAACTTTGAACGTTTAATAAAGGGCATCTTATATGCTAGAAACTACAAAGTGTTTACATTATTCTCTGAATGCAACAAACCTTTTCCCGATGTTCCAGAGCAAATACGCATGTCGAGAGCAAAGACAGAATAATTTGCAGAATGGAAGGAAGAAACGACCTCGCCAGGTTGCCCAGCTTATCCAGGATTTGCGACACCATTCCCAGAAATCCTTGCTGTTTCTTTAGAGGGACAACACGGGAGAGGTCTGTTGCCACGGTAACAATCGCACTTGCATCATCTGCTGAAATAAGAAATCAAAAGTCAAACAGTGATTGCCAGAGCAAATTTTTTTCACTTTAGTGCGACGAAGGGATCGGGCCAATATGCTTATCTTGAGAAAAAGAAAACTTGCGACTTGAGCAGGCCTGGTAGATACAGAGAGCCACCTACATGAAAACCTATGATGAAGAGGAGATCCTTTTTACCTCTACAAAGGTGTTTAAATGGCGCAAAAATCAGGTCCATGAAAATTTGTATCTCTTTCTGAGGACAAGAGGCCAGGAACCTCAACACGACAGCTCGCCTCACTCCCACGCCTGCTCGTCCTCCACTTCCTGTACCGGTCAGTCTTTGCATCTTGCCGTACAAGAGCCTGGGTATCAGAAACAAAACAGCGTGTGTCACATACATTCAAAGTGAATCTGTAAATGCTATGTACAAGTCAAGCGTTTGCTGAGCGAGCGCGTAAAAATTAGAACAATTCGTAGAAAACATGACTTCTTAAGCTGTCGCGCTGCTTCAGTTGGAAGGTATAGCACTTGTTTTATTATCAACGTGGCATTTATAAAAATAAATGGATCTATCAACGTCAGTACCTTAGAAACTGCGCACCTACCCCTTCCCTAACCTAACCTAACCCAAAAAGTCAACTGATAAGAAGTTACGGTTAGTGTTGGGTCAGGGGAGGGGCAGGTGCGCACTTTCTCAGATACCGACATTGATATAAATAAATTTACCGTAACCGGAAATTTTGGTAGAGTTGAAGTTCCGAACGTTGGCTCTTCGGCAGAGAAAAAGGAGCAAAATTTACATCAGGCGGTCAAATATACCTCATTAACGAAAAGCAAAACATTGAGCAGTTTGCTACGAAAGTATTCAGCAACTAACCTTATGAGCACTGGCATTAGTCCATCTCGATGACTCATCGTCACAATGCCGCTATCCTCGTCAACTGAAAAGTGTGCCATCTCATCTCGAAAGTTCTCATCGCCTAACAAGCGCTCAATAGCCTCTTTGTACGGCTCTAGATAATCAAACTTGTAAGTCCACAGGCACTGTACTGCAAGCTTTTGTACTTCAGCCTCTCTATGAGTTAAGAATCTCAAGTATAACTCCCTTAACTGGGGTTCTTTAGAGAGAGCTTTCGGGTTCTTGAAAGCTGCAAAGAGGCTCAGATGAGTACAAAGAGACTTTGTGGCCGCCTTATGTCTCTTCTTGTGCAAATTCTCTTGTGGTTTGGAATTGATGTGATCCACTTCCGTCTCCATGGAGTCTGACTGATCGACCTCTGCCAGGGATCCTTGTGGTTCAGAAAGCTGTTTGACTCGGATGTCTTGCGAGGGAGCAACGTTTTCCATTGCCACAAAGTATTCGTTGCTGTAATAAAGCGAAAATAAACGTACTTAATACATTTATAATGCAGCACACGATCCAAAAACGGACACTTGCATGATGGACTACATGTGCTGTTAGGTTGAACTTGGGGCGTTTTTTTTTATGTTCTGAAAATCTGAAATACAAGACCGCCTAAAGTATCGTGGAGACTGGAAAACTTGATGAGATGCCACCCTCTAAATTCACTTTCCATTCTTCTCTGAACAAAGTAGTATTCACCTCACAAATCGAATAAACAGCGGTACCACATCACGTGATTTCTGCTCGGCGACTTCGGGAAAAGAAGCCATCGCTTTCCACAGCAGATGACGGAAGTTAACAGGATCTTCTCTGGTCTCATCTCGTGAACCCAGTGAAGCCTTATTGTGCTTCTCAAATATTTCATCAAGGCACTTCTTCGAATTACAATCGTCTTGTTCACTATTCTCCATTTCTGGTTGTTCGCTGTTGCTCGTATCCATTTCTTCTCCGAGTTTCTTTTCTGAAACGTACATTATTTAGCTGTTATCAGCTGTTACAATGTGGATGCGTAAAGGAAACTAAGGGAAACGTGCAGAGAGACTGTTGAGTCGAGGGAAAAATACATAATTTCCCTCTAAACACCTCAGTGAGTGTCAACACATTGGAAATCATTCCTTATCGTCAGACAACAATCGCCGTCATTAGACATTCTTTACAGTCATCATACACCACTCTCACAAGAGCACACCTTTACAAAACTCAAAGTCATAGGACATCATTCATCACCAGTAGTTAACATTTACCATCACTATACATCATTCATTGTCACTTGACATGATTCACCGTAACGGTACAACTGTCACCCTCACTAAACATTATTTACCTTCCTTAGACATCGTTCACCGTCATTAAACATTACAGACCGTCACAATAATTCATCCATTTTTACTGAACATCACTGGATGTCACTGAAAATCACTAGATGTCACTGGACATCACTGAATGTCACTAAACATCATCCACCATCATTAAAAATAATCCACTTTCATTAACCATTATTCCATACCATTCATTATACATGTTTCATCATCAAGACACAATTCACAGTTAGTAAACATCAATAACCATCATTAGCCATCATCCTTCGTCGCCAGACTTAATTCACCGTCTTAATATAGTGCTCTTGCCATAAGAATAAGATTACGACTACATAAAGAGTTAATGGTTGAAAAAACGCACCTACAATTCTACACTATACGTCAAACACGCACCTGTTCTGTCAGAAGTTGTGTTGAGTAGCTCACTGAATATCCTCCAAAAGTTCTTGACATTCGAGCCTTGAGCAAAACTTGCAACAATATCAATCACTGGATCCCAAAGGGGACTGAAGTTCACACAAAGCATTCCGCACAAGTAAAGCACAGCAGCATCTCTGTAGAGATCCGCCAGGTCGTCGTAAAACGCTGAAGAGAAGCGGATTTTCTGTAGACACACCAGCTTGTCTCTGTACGACTCTAAACGTGTTGGAAGTTCCTCAGAGGCGAGACACGTTTGAAACAACGAGGGCCTTAAGGAGTCAGGGGGCTGCAGAAAAAAAGAGAAGTTTTCTCAGGGACCTACAAGTACACATTCATTGCGGTTAAAAGTTTTTCAAGTTCGCCATGTGCAATCATTGTTAACCGTCTCCACTGCCAAACACCCTTTGCCCTTTATCGTATGCGTCTACCTTATTGATGTTTGCTCTACTTACTTTGCTATTGTTTCACGATTTCCTTGTAATTTGAGGCAATCATTTATTCCACAAAAAAATCGACTCAGCATATTTTGAGATTACGTTTTCAAGTCAGCTATTAGGAGTACACTTGTATTCCTACTTTCCCTGGATTAGATGCTCTTCTGTCTATCAAAAGGTTACCCGCCCCCAATCCCTCCCCAATCATAGTTGCAGCACGCTACTGATGGGAGCTTTCAACAGTTATAGTACAACAGCAAGCTGTACATGTAGGTACTAGAACAACATTCATCAAAGGTTAATGTGGCACTGCACCTTGTTGTTTGATGAACTCCTTCCAAGCTGCTCAAAACTTGCCAAAATTTTAAGAGTGAGAAGACGCACAAAGTGACTTGAAGAACATAAATTGAGACGGAGGTAGGGAAATATCTGCTGAAGGTTTTCCTCAACAAGGACACCTCCCATGCCGTGCTTCCTCGAGGCTGCCGTAAGTTTATGACAAGCTTGAAGAATGTGGACATTGTCTGGCCAGGATCTGGAAAAAGAGCCACAGGTTAGAAGGTACACTATAGTTATAATTTAAAACAGACCGAGGACCAACAAATATACATGCCAGGAATTGGAATATCCCAGAGAAGATACAATTTAAAACACCCTTCTTCAAATTACACATACAGTACAAGTACATGGATATAATACAGGACAAAACCATAGTATGGCGTTTCACCTGAGTAGTGATACTATGAACTTGAAGTCCAAATTCTTGCCAATGTCCTCTGCATCAGCCACAATTAAAATGTAAGACTGAATTGCCTGACCTAAAACACTCAAGCACTGGGCATTGCCCCCAGCACTTGTATTTGCCAGCAGGTGTTCACTGAAGACGCCAATAAAACGCAAGAGCTCGTCACAACACCGAGGAACATCTAAAGGACTAAACACCAAGAACAAAGTAGTTAGCTTTACAAAACAGTCATTAAACATATGCTTATGGTAGATGTAGGTATAGGAGCATGAGCACCTTAGTAAATTAAATTTATTACCTTTACAATATCATTGGGAAATTCATGATTTAGTATTCTTTTTTAAAATGTTTTAAGAATTTATATGATTTAGATATTTTGGGCTTTCTATCGTTTTGCTCTTGCAACAAGCCTTTGAGAAAATGTTGATTATCTAACACTTGATGTCCCTTTTAGTTAAACAGGTACTTAAAATAATTAATTTTTTTATTAGGGTTTGTTGCTCATGGAATGAACTACCTCCTAACATCCTAGGGAGTCTGACTCCTTGTCAGTCCTTTGCAAGAAAATATTTACTCATTTTTATTATAAGTTCAGTGCTAATTTTTGAACTTGATTATCTTATTTTTATCATGAGTTTAGAGTAATTAGTCTTTGACATTGATTTTCTTAACTAGGTAATTAATTAACTATAACTTTCAATAAGTCAGCTTACATCAAGAAATCTTGTATTGTGTTTTAAGTTGTCCTCGATTTGATTGGATTGACTTGTTCAACATAATAATTTGGGATTTGTATTAAACAATTAAGACTAAAGAATATCAAATGGAATTCACCTCTACAGGACAAAGGACTGACAATTAAAATGCTTACAAACCCACATTGTATTTCTAAAAGAATCTTTGGCTTAGAGAAGGAAAGTCTGACCTAAACCATTTTGTTTGATTGTTTTTGGACATTTTAAGTAAAGGAGGAGGTACATTGTACATAGTGCATAGTAAAGAACCCTTACCCACTTCCCACTCCTTTGCATTCAAATTCATAATTATGTGCCCTTTAACTCTTGTTTCATTCACCCACTCAAGCATTAGCATTTTGTCCCAGCAAAGAAAACCCAATTAACTTTGACCAGGGGCTAGTCTGTAAAACATCAATTTGTTTAAAATCTACCATGGTTGTTACATGTAAGTCAACTTAACAACACTGGTAAAGAAACCTGGCAAAAGTACCTAGATCTGTATAAACATACCTTATACAAGGAATGCATACAAGAGAACTCCATGTTAGGGAAAGCTTGCTTTTATCCAAGACAACTTTGTTTTCAATTGTTACAGCATCAAGGAACACTTTTAAAATCTTTGCACCTTGCCTGGTGCCACATTTTGGGAAAAAAAGCAACCCTTTCAAGCGTGCCAAATCAAGTCCACTGCTATCTGCAGATGCAGTTTGAAAGATGACTTCTGTCAGAATAAGAATAATATCTTGAATTTTAGATGAACCTTTGAGCAGCTCTTCTTGGCAAAAGTTCAACAAAGAAGGTAAGGCATCTCTCTGGAAATGTTCCCACTTTAACAAATGTCTACAAAACATAAACAACTGCTCTTGACTTTCTATTGCCTTAAATACTTTCAAAGTCAATTGTTTCTGGTGTCTCTCCCTGGAGAGTTCTGTGGAGGATGTTTGCAGGAGTGTTGATATAAGTTCAAACAAGGAAGAGGCAATGTCATCTGACACAAAATCCTGGACAATCATCACCTGAACAACCTTAAAAAAATGATTGAAAATAATCATCATTGCCTGGACAACCTGAAATTAAAAACATAAAAACAAAAAACAAAACAAAAAATGTGGTCATGCTCCACAAGAAAGTGGAAGGGCAATTCATAAAGCAAGCTTCTTTACTTAGGAAGGGTATTAACACAAACAGTTGTTCCCCGCTTCTCTAGAAATCTCAGTTTTTTATTAAAAGTGCAATGCGCATTAACAGCATTAAGGACCATTCCACAAAAGAGAAAACAATTGGCTGACTCATATACACTAATGACAGGTGTGAGCACACATGTGAACATCTTATTTATGTGTCTAGGTGCACACTGTATGACAATATCAGTATGTACAAGGTATTTTGCTTGAGCTTTATGACTTACTTATCTTTGAGCTGCATCGTAAGCAACAAGTCTGGTGCTATTCCCCTTGCATGGGATAGCCTTAGCCATCTCAGGTAACCATCTTATGAGGTTTGCCCAAACAATTTGCTGATAAACTGTAATTATGTAAATTCTGGATGGTTTGCCTTGCAACAAAACAAAATGACATGGCCAATATATACACGTACTTACATCACATATCTTTATTGGGTCTGAAATCAAGCTACCAGACTTGTAGGAAACCCAAACATTAGTCAGCTGTACAGTGAAACCTATCTGACTCTGCAGAGAACCTGCTTGATCAAAGTCATGCTGTTTTTTATTCCAAATGCTCCATAACCTCTCCAATTCCATAACCAAAGTTTTTTCCACCACTGAGCAATGTTCCATGACTGTGTATTTTGCCATACTGTTGAGCATGTGCACAAGTGACTGGTAAACCTTTCAAGGTGAAAAAGAAGACAGAGAAGAAAAGAATTAATCAATTCTGATGATTCAATTCAAGATAAGATGCTTCCAGTGAGTTTGATCCTTCTAAAAGCAAACTTTGCTATTTAAGGTTAGAAGAGAGTTGACAGTATTTGAATTTCTCTGACACAAAGACTTAACAATCTCTATCTTATTCAGTATTTAACCTTTTACTCTATAACATCAGTATGCATATTCTCCATACTACTCCCTCAACATTTCCTAAGGCTCTGACAGCGAGAATTTGTTCAACGATCAAGAACTTCTTTAGTTGGTGATCATCTCTTTAATTCTCATGACCTTAATGTCTGATTCAAGGGTGATGTTATGAGGAGAAATAAGATGTTAGTCACTCTTAGGGGTTAAAAGGTAAATAAGCTGTACATACCATTTCCCATTTCAAACTAGCAGCTACTGACTTGCTTTGAAAGGCTCCAGTTTTTGAAAACAAGACAGGTAAAACAGAATCTGTGGCCGAGTGAAACTGCTTTTTGACTCCTTTTATCATTTCAAAACACAAGAATCCAAGACCCTGACACAAGTCTGGCTGTGCTTCAAGTGTGCTGAAAATTATGTCAAAGAGTTTGCTATAGTCTTTGCTTTTCCTCATGAGGAATGAAAAACTCTCAGCTGCAAACTGTTGGATGTAGTATTTTTGTTCACCCATAAGTAGCGGACTGTACAAACTGAAAAATAAATTAAAATTATCCATAATAATTGTAGGTGTAGGGTCACTGATATGGATAACACGCACACAGAATCAAAATGCAAAATGACAAGCATCATTAATTGCTGAATGCAAAATTATAATGGCAAGAGTAAAAATGACTGGTAAAAACTTGCTGGCTGTCCATTTGCAAATTTTAATCAGCTACACATATTGCTTTATATTTCTCATCTCATCACTGTTTCTGTTAGCAAGCTAATAATCTGGCTGGTGATTTTCTTATATGATACTCTAACCCACATAGACATATAGGAATGAAACTGGAATTGTGTCATTGACTATAATTAATTGAAACCAGGTTCAAATTAAAGAACAGACAAAAGAATTTCCACAAACTAAGCCTAGACCAACTTAGATTCAAAACAGTGTTCCTGAATTCTATATAAGTCTACCAACAAGAATGGTTCATATATCCCAAAGGTTAAAAGATTTTCAGGGGGCAGAAACCCACATTCACCTACCTGAAGATATGTTGGATGTCTTTCACCATATATCTCCAGAGAAACTTAAAAAGATAGCTCAGAGTTGCAAATATACACTCCAGAGTATGAGTATCTTGCCAAGAGCGGTTCAGTAGTGATATAAATATATTAAAGAAGCTACTGAAGTAAGGATAGAAGTCGCTTTGCAAGTCTCTGGCCAGCTGAACGACCAGATCCAACAGGGGCTCCAAAGCGAGACTTCCATTCACTTGTAGATTAGTTTTTAATCGCTCTATGACTTCGTTCTTGTGGTGAACAAGCTGGGCTAGACTTTGAACATATTTTCTGACTTCTGAGGAAAATTCTTGAAAGTGTAGAGTGCAATTCAGCTCCGTCCATTTGGCAAGTGCTTCACAAAAGAACGTGTCTTCATCCTCTGGTGTCTCAGTGCTTCTTTGGATTCTGTGAGTCACATCGATTTTAATAGCTGAAATGCGCTCGAAAAATCCTTTAAACCTGTGTGTATTTGTTTCTTTTCTCTTCACCATGATGTTTTATGTGTTTTAAGACCAAGAACCACCCTTTGAAACGAATAAACCTTTAAGAAATAGTCACCATGTGACTCCGACACTGAACGGCCGCCATGTTGACTTTTTTTTCCGATAGCGACTGGATTCGAATTATCAAATTGGAACCCAGTCTTCATGTTTTTCTTTCTCTCTATTATACCGCTGGCCACTTTGCCGACAGCCGGCTTAGAGCAAAAAATATTACTGTGCTGAATCGATCTACCTCCTTCTAGGGGCTGAGGCGATAATGCTTAGCCTGATGATTCTGATGATAGTCGGGAACTAAGCTCTGGGCTTCTCCATAGTAATCGTATGAGGTAAGTTTATGAAGAAACTGTTGTGCTGCGTCGGTGGGAGAATATAACAGAATAATTTAGTACCATCAATTGAGTTGATAACGTAAATAGGCCTCCGTAAACAGTTTAAAAGCTGACGTTTCGAGCGTTAGCTTTCGTCAGCTTTTAAACTCTTTTACAGTGGCCAGTTTACGTTATCAACTCAGTTGATAATACTAAATTACCCTGTTAATCGTAGGTGTACCGAGGATCGTTCCGTCGGGTTCTCTTTTTTGAACTTTTGTGGTCGTTTTTTTCAAGTATTGCACATTTACAGTTCATGGAGCCCGAAAGAGACAGCACAATCCCAATCCATAATCCTGATGGTATTCTAGGGTCGATTATAATCGGAATAATTTGAAATATGCCCCACGCACAATAGTAGGGGGGAGGGGGGGCGGGGCGAAGGGGAAGGGCACATCATCGTTTTTGCAAACAAAATTCACAGAGATGCACTGAAAAGCCTAACGGAAAGTCTTTGCATCGGGCTTCAGAGGTCTTGATAAAGGTTGAATTGGAAAATAAAGAAACATTTTTAGTAAAATGTACATAGTTACTTTCAGAATGGAATATTCCTCGATTAGCTGAAAGCTCTGATTGGAACACGACAAGCCTAAAAGGAAGAGTAGGAAAGGAGAAAAACAAGGAATGGGTCTTTAAAAAGGGATGGGTGTGAGAGAAAGGCAAATCTGACCGTTATCTCATCGCGAGAAAAGCGCAAACGTGTGGCTACCGCTTTCTGTACTGAGATAAAAGGAGAAAGCTGCTCCACGTGAACTTTTCATAAAAGTTTTAATTCCACCGCAAGTCCAAAATGATCAGAAACCGACGAGTTTCTTTTCGTCCTAAGTTTTATAATTTCTTTCTTCACTACTGCGACATTGGAGCTGGTGAAAATTGCATCAAAGTTTCCGTGTTCGATGCTAGTTTCCATTCTAACTTGAAATACAGACTGTAGGCCAACCACGCGCATGGTTTCTAGGAGCTTTTTATACTCCTCACTACTGTTACTAGTACTGGCATGATGATTGTCAATATTGAAGTCTCCAGCCACAACGATGTGTGAGCCTGTACTGAAGTTTTGGACGGCCTCGGCGATTTCCTTCGCTTGTAAGACTCTGGCATCAACTCCATGAGGATCTAAGTGGGTATTGATGACATAGAGATGCTGATGTTGGAATAAAAACTCGCCTATGACAAATCCCCTAAAGTCTACCACTTGGGGAACCGAATAGTGACGGTAACGAGTTGAAAATGTGTTTATGAGCTGGATCCGACTAAATATGACAATACCACCACTTTGTCCGAAATAAGGCGCTGAAAAATCTGCAATTGATGTCCTGTAATGAAATCCACGCTTTTTCATTGCTTTAACCAGAAGTGATGCACATTTTGAGACAACAGCCACTCCTGTATTCAAGATGTAAGCCTCCTGAATGAGTGCAACGTCAAAATCTTTAATGCCTTCTGCAAGACCTTCAATCCTTTCGGAGACGTCCCACATCACATGAGGCTTCAAAAAGTCACACCATAAATTATGAGAAATGAGGCGCAGGGACTTTTCCTCGCTGAAAGATCTATTCTTACTTTTTGTAATATTGCCCTGGATAATCTGATGAAGCAAAAGCCGTGTTTCATCATCCAGTCCTCCAGTCATAATATTTGAAACAAACAAAAATGTCATAACAGCACAAACTAAGAAGGCACAGAAAGACTTGATATTTGACAGCCAAAGTGATTTCCTGCAATTGTAGAAAAGAAAAAAAAAACTCACCATCAATCCACGATTGGAACAACGTTACGACAACACCAATTACTGGAACTAAGTTGAGGTATCTTGGGTCTTTTTTCTTTAACAAGCTAAATTTCCTTCAAATTGAGGGAATCCTTATAATGTTATTTGGGCAAGGGTGGGGTATGATCGAAAATTTGCATATAACAGTTGACTAGCTCACAAGGTCTCTCTCGCCATGGGAACGAGATTGACTCGTAAACAAGGCAACTATTAATCTCTCCGTAAGTACATCGTGATACCTTAGGCGAGACCTAAAAGTCTAAGCGAGAAAGTTTCGGTGAAAATTTCGCTATACACAGATCTAAATAAGAAGCAAGTACAATTGACTGATTTAAATTTCGATATCGACAACCGGTATTCGAATGACAGGTGGAATATACACAGCAAATTTCCAAGCACCACGTTGCTAGTGCTAAATATATCTAAAAACAAAATATATGCCAGTTGTGAAAAGCTAAAAACCTTCGTTTGCCGAAAGAATCTTTAGTGGACCAAACCGTGAACCGACTAGCTACGTTCATTAATTTAAGTGTATTTTGTTGTTGTTATGTTGGGTTATATATGTTTAACTCATTAATTCATTTAACATTGTAAAACTGAAGTTTCGTGCGTCACCGGTCACAAACGTATATCAATTTACTTCTAGTCCCGTCTTGCTTTGGGAAAAAAATAAGCAGATTATTGAGATCTTATGATAACACAGCTAAAATTACAAATAATGTTCATACATAATTTAAATCACCGATGGAGCGATGCCAAGTCAGAAGTTGAGGAGATTAAGTTAAAGTTTTCGTGTGAGTATATGGGGAACGAATTTTGATTCAGCTACATAGTCCTTACAAGGCTGAATTGTCTAATGCCTGTAAATTTACCGTTGGCGAAAGATTTTCCAATAATAATAGTGTTTGTGAACGTCGGACAATACCGGCTCGGTGCTTGAATATTATAAACACAGATTTACCGCACTGCTTAAAATGCGAGTCAAGACACTCAATTCGACCGTCTAAACGGAAAATGAAAGAACCAGCCGAACTCGAGAAATGCCTTAATAGAATGCCTACACTTCAGTGAAAATTTAGATCTAATGAAATATACCATGGCGGAAAATTACCATAAAGATTTACCGTACTTACTGCGATTTCATTCAGTCCCTTAAGATTTAAAGATCTTTGTTACGAGTAAAGAAGGTTATAGTTCGATGTGAGGTTCTCTGTGAAAGCAAGTAGAAGTGCTTTTAAAGTTAAAAATGCCAGTAACATCGCCAAAGGCCAGAAGATCCAAGAAACAGGGAAACAGTGGCACGATTTTCCGAAATGAATGTTGACATGGACATCCAGCGGTCATGAATATGGCGTTATTTTGAGCGGCGAGTCAATCACTGCTTTGTTATTTGCCGATAGAACAAAGGACGACGTATGAGGGCGCAATTTAGCATTACATTATTTTAATGATTGTGTCGGTTCTTAAAAAAATAGCCCTCTTAGAGGTCATGTAGTTACTATGTTCATAGTTGAAGTTTTTGTTTGTTTGTTTTTTTTTTTTTAATAAAGATTAGGAAATGGTTTTGGCATAAAATGTCTTGAATGTTTGTTTGTGTTGGCAGGTGTTACTTTGAAAGTCGAATTCTGTTCGAGTTCTGTTTGGATGTACATGTCAGGCGGGGAAATCGGCTGCTTGGGACAAGGCAGGTTTCAAAAATTTTGATTTTACTGGTCAAATCTGCATTATTCTCAAGCGTGACATATCAATCACTCGAATTGCGTTACCTTCCTTTCCATGGAAGTTCTGCTCATGATCATGATGATTTCTGAATTTTCCAACATCTGAGATATTCATTTTTTTCTTCCAAGTTTTTACCGCTTTCAAGGTTATAAAATTCGAGGACTGATCCGTTCTGAAAAACGCTCGGCACCTTTTAGTGTGGGCTTACCATGAAAGGCTCATGTGTATGTCTATCCGTGAGAGGAGCGTACAAGCAGATATGGCAATTTTCTCTACCAAGCTTTCTAAACAAAAGACAATATTCTGCTCTTCTCAGGGGATCAGTAACACTGAGAACACCAGGGACCATGATGCAGAGTTGGCGACCAAATAAGAAGAAAAGCAATGAAAGGCTACTGAGAGAAACCAACTCATTTTTAAATATGTGCCCAAGTGACGAAAAAAATTTAACTGCGTGTTAAAATTCTGACTGCTGTTATAAGATTCCACGGCCGAACCAGGAGCGAAGTAGCTCACAAGGCAATTGCGTAACGAAAAGAAAGGTCAAATCCGTAAAACTTCAAAAGATGATAAATCAGCTGCTTAATATGGTTACAATATAGCCAAATGGCAGCCCAACGGAATTGTGAAATTCAACTTGATGAAAAGAATTAAAAAATTGCTTACGCGGCGCCAGAAAATATTTCCATATCCGACTAACGTGGGTTGTAGCGTAAACGAAGACCCCCGAAAACAAAGACCCAAGACCCAAACACAAAGACCTACGACCCGAAAACGAAGACTCCTTTATCTTTATTTGACATGATCTTGTTGCGGTTTCTCGCCGGAGATTAAATCTTTCTAAGAGCTATGAAGTATGCAATCAAACACCAGTTTTTTATAAAAAGATTCCGAACTGCGAAGACCCAAAATGAAGACCCTTAAGAACCGTGTTTATCTATTGGATTATTCCTAATGCTCACTTGCTCAAATGCTAAATTGACGGCTTCTCAATCGATTCACTGACTTCAAAGGGCGCTATAATTAGTTTCTCCTTCTTCTCCTTCTGCCAAAGGCCAAATTCTTTGGTGATATACTAATTTGTAGTTTCGCTTTTTTTTTTTTTTTTAATTAAACTGGTGAATGATCACGTCGCGAGCAGAGGAGTTGCCAAGCTTTTGACTGTTTTTCATCGGTGAAGCCATAGAGCCTGACGCTCACTTCCCTTATCAAAATCATGAAAGGGTCTTCGTTTTCGGGTTTTAGGTTCGTTTGTAAGGTCTGCAGGGTGTATTCTGATCAAGGATGGGGCTAAAAGAAGATAAAACAAGCCATTTTAGCCTACGGCATGCGCCGACAGACGCCATTTTTTAATTACTTTGATAACTCTATGTACTCAGGCAAAAATTTCGCCCTTTGTATCACCGCAAGATATTTTAGCAGAAGACAATAGAATGACTTTGGGGACAGAGGCAAAGTGAATAGTGGAGGCTCTGAAACAACATGGACATGAATGCATTAAAAATTAGTTGATTTTTATCAGAAATCTACTAGCGACTGACGAAAGAATTTTCTTTTGCTAGTATATTAAACTACACTGCAATCAATAAATAATAGTTTGAAAAATATATAGACTACATAAGTATTAAGTTGGGTTTTTCTCTCGCTGGTAATTTGTAATATCAATTCTGGAGTCTTAAGAATCATATCATAAAACTTAACCTGACACTTCTTACTAACCCCCCCCCCCCCCCCCCCCCCCCCCCCCCCAAAAAAAAAACTGAAAAAAACCATTTGATATTGCGCGGCTTACCTTGCCGAGATTCGAATTCGCACAGGGCATCTCAAACTCTTCGCTCTCAAGAGAAGAGTTGTGCCCTCTACATGTGAACCTGTTAAAAACAAGTTTTATTCTAATGAACTGGCATATTGTTCCCCTGGTGAGACCGTCACCATGACTCTAAAGATGAGGTACAAATGGAGAGAACTGAAAAGAAAGTAAGGCGTTATGATCTACTGGGAAAGCATCCTATCCGTTCACCACAAGTAGGAAAAAAGAGGCAGGTCAGGAAACTGTTGAAACCATTCCGGTCAATCCGGATTCTTAACAAGGTATGAGTTGTCGATAAGAGAACAGACCACGCTAAACCACTGTCGATTCGTTTTTTTTTTTTTTTTTACCACAATATCGACGTCAAATAAAACGATTCTTTCAGTGTGTGACCAGGATCGTGACAAGTTGACGGCAGCGTTGTCTGTACTCTTATCGACAACGGAAATTGGCAAATCAGATTATGCCATTATTGCGGCGAAATTTACTTTCGAACACAGACTACCTGATTAGAGCAATTTCCAATCTAGAGCCTTTTAATATCACTGGAAGCGGACAATAAATAGGACAAGCCAAAGATTCCCGTAAGAGCCAATAGGCGATAGACCTTACGCAAGGTTTATCTTGTCAACCTTATCTTCATCCACTTATAAAACTGCGGCGAAAAAGCCATAATCCCTGACCAAAGTCATTTTTTTTGGACGTCCTAACAACTTTTTACCATACATTCCTTTCTGGCGAGTTGCAATGTTTGCCCCATGGCGATCCCAGAAACCTGTGCGTAAACGCAAGGATCCGATTACTAACAACTCATTCATTAGATCTAAAAAAGGCATTTTTACTTAATATTTTCAACGGTTATACACTTCAAAACAAAATTCCGTGTTTGCTTATCAAAAACAAGTAAACAGCTTTCTTTACTCTAAGCATAATCAGAAAACAAATTGATCACAAGCCGAGGATACCTTATTGCTTTAATTTTTATGTGAGTATTTGCTATAACTGAATTCTACTTCAAGGACTTGACATTATCAATTTTCAATTTTTTTGCTGCTCTCACTTAGAAACACCTTTAAAGCTTTTCAAACTAGTTCCTTTTTTCAGTACGTAAGTGACTTGTCTAAGAGTTTTGGCCAGGGAAAGGTTTACAAATGCGCTATTCTTATCATTTAAATCCATGTTTGACTTTACATGCAGGATAGACTTTTTAGTTTGTTAATCAAAGTTCACGTCTCACCTAACTATCATTTTTGGATTTTTTCCGTGACCAGTGCAACACAACAGGTATGGAAAACACTTTCAAACCAACGAGAACAGGTACAATTGAATTAACCATTATATGAAGTAACTCGTCGACACGATGGCGTTTGTTTCATAATAGTAATTCATTTGGAGATATCATTTGCATCCTTAAAACATTTTCCCTCTTTCAAGGCAGGAACAAGTTATTCACAACTAGTTGTACCTGGTAAGGGCAACTGCAATAGCTTTTTTGTTTCGTCTCATCTGAAGTTGGGGTTCAGATGTTGTCTTTGTAAGAACCATGCATGTCAAAGATGTAAATAACCTGCCTTACAAGAAGCATTAACTAATCAAGGTGAGTTTTTGAAAGGAGGTCAATAAGTCCTTTAATTAATTGTTTGGGATTAACACCAGGGGAGGAACAAGGAGGTTGAATTTGGCTCACACTCAAGCGGTAGACAAAGAGAAATTGAAGATACCTGGGGAGAGTTAATTTACGGCGCTTCCGTAAGAGCAAACAGATTGCCTTCCTTAACACATAATCGACTAATTTACGGATTGAGATTGCCGAATTTAAGAGCCCATTTGTAAAGTATATGGCATTGCAGTTCTCAGAAATCCGATTGTAGATAGTAAATTGCCTTTGTCAACGCAAATTCATGAATATGATGCCCTCACCTCCGCTTATCCGAGCCTGTAGAATGGTAAACGCTGGACATTGTCTGTTTAAAGTGATTGCATCTTCCGTTTCCTTGTCATTTCCGTTAAATTGAAAAGAGTTCGCTGCTTTTCAGCATAGATTACATAAACGGAGAACGATTCAGAATTTCTTATCAAATTTGAGCCACTTGTCAAATAAGGTAGTAGCAAAATAATTAAAATGAACATCACTCTGCATTTGCATGTGTGTTTAATTATCTTATCTGCATATTTCATAACAGGAAATAATTAGTTTTTACACCCAACTGGAGATTGCATGTTTAAGCGAGTAACGCAAACAGCATCAAAAATGCTAGGTGAAGCCAACCGAGTGAAAGCAAGACCGCCGACGAGCTGGGAGAGACCCAGAAGAAAACTTGCATGCGTTGCTTTCAATCCCTAATATTTAATCCATACTCGTTGGATTTCCTGGTTTCAAATTGAGGTTTATATAGGTAAGGTGTCTGGTCTAGTGTGTATAAACTAGCGATCGTTAGCTTCATTTTCTAAACGATGACCTGACAAAATTGGCAATTTCAGATTGCATGTAAGTACAAAAATAACCATGCAAGATCACGATGATGTTCTTTTGACATTTTTTAAAGGGCCTTAACTGCTGTGTTTTAAGAATGAAGGAAACTCGAAAAGGTTCTTCTAAAGACTGTTTTAAAAGCTTAACTGAATTGCGTTTCATTTTGATTGTGTTAGAAAGCAAGATTTTTAAAGTTTGAAACAGAACTGTTAAGAATTTTTTTGCCGGCGAAAATGATTATTTTGTAGCGTAATTTTTTTCCAGCGTAAACGCGAATCGTTTTTTCTAAGAGACAACATCAAAAACACCTGTCTCTCTTTATCAACCTTGCTCAAATTTGTCTTCATGTCGGTGCTTT